GCACTATCTATTGCATGAATACAATCTCTAAGTGTGCTGGAAATCCTCGACGGGGTGGGCTTAATGTTATTGTAACGTGGCGTTGTTGGGCACGCTATCGTTGTATTTGTGGAAAATAGGTTTCTTTGGTGTTATATAATTTGTGTGTCGCCTGAAAGTGGTAAGGGTTCTGCCAAGGGTTTAATTTAGACATGGGTCATTGTCGACGCGGCAGCATTGACGGCAACCTTCCCCGGCTGAGCGGCGGGCTGTCCAAGAATGGCAGGTGTGTAGGATCACTCTTCAGCGTCAGCCGCGCGCACCAACTTCACGCCAAAATCCGACGGTCTGCAACTCAGCATTCAATTTGCATTCCCCTCTGGTACGCTAAAAAATCTAGACACTACTAGCTTCATTCTTCAAACACTGTCCTCGATTCTCTTGCATTTCGTTTAACCTTCCTCAATTCAAAGCCCTGGCGCGTCCTCCCAGTGCGGCGAATATTTGAGAGCAACACCCCCTATCATAGAGTAAGGAATATCTCTCAAGTCTTGCCGTTTGTGGTGTGTGCCATAACGGTTGGCCTACAGGCCGCACGAGAACTTTTAGAACCCGATGGGTCCCAAAGGCACAGCAGAAGTCGTCCCGCCGTCCAAGGCATCGGAGCCGTCAGAGCCGTCGGACATCAGGCCGGAGGAAAAGCCGAAAGAGCAACTCACAGGAGAGCAGGAGGAGAACCCCCAGGTCACCGCGCATAGGAAGGGGGAGCAAGCCGCTGACCACGGCCGCGGCTCCTCGCGCAACCAGTCCAAGGGGAGCAAGACGCTGCCTGGCGGCGCGGAGAAGCCTCAACCGAAGCTGTAAGGCTTGAGCAAGTTGAGATGGGGCACGAGGATTGGTGCATTTGTATCGCAGATCCCTTTTTGTTCAATGTTGATAATAATTGCACGTTCGTGTATCGACGGTATTCATTCAAACATATAAATTTGTATCACACGCTACTTCTGAAGGCTGTCCGGCCAAGTACCCCGCTTTTGAATGTGTACTCACACTGAGGGGTTTAGTCATGTGTTCAAGCCCTAGAGAACGGTTCTCGGTGTGAGTAGACCATGGTCCACGGTAATGACTGTGAGAAATTCAGAGAATCTGCCGTACACTCTCCATGAACTGGTCATTTGGATGTTATCTATTGCAGCGACGCTCTGTCACATACAAATCCGGTGGCGTCCACGGGTCCCCGCGGATGCGCCGTGTCAAAAAAGAGAAATGATGGCGTACTCCATTTTCGCCGCACGTTCGAATGTCAATCGGAGAAGTGTATAGCTGACATTGTCGTTCATATATGATGATCCGTTCCTGACCTCTCGCATTCCGATAGCAAGGATGCTCAGCATTTGCCGAGACGCGGCGGGAGGGGTCACCTTATCATGACATCGCGACCACACGACTGCGTAGACGAGTCGTGTGACTCAATAAACCGCTTTGCATGAGGCCAGCCCTCACTTCGGCAAGGCTGAACAACACATCTGTGTACCTGAAGAACACACGATGACGTTCTAGGGAAGGAGAGTGCTCTTCTAGACTTCGAAACTTACATAGCTTCGCCGTGACAAGCGTGGAATCGGGGTTAGGGGACAAGCAGGAGATCGCACGTTTTCGGTGTGCCGAGTGGGATGCTAAACTGAGTCAGGACGAGCTGGCCACGATCCGTCACGAATTCACGTCGTTCGTCGGTAGCATAAGTGAACTGGCTGACTGGCGTTGGCACCGATTCGATATTCCACAGCAGAGGTACAAATATGATGTGATGAGCAATCTTGCAAGCAACGTACAAATTCAAACAAGCGTAGCAACCCCTCATGCTTCGGTCGGCTTTGCCTTTTTCTTTATGCGAGAAATCCGCAACATAAGCTAGACCCGCCTGACAAGCAGAAAGCGGACTTACATATGCAACTATGTCAAAGTCGTACTTGATTCCTGCCTGCTCCAGTTTGCGCTTCTTTTGAATCTGTCGATGAAGGAGGCGCTTCTCAGCCCTTGCCTGTTCGTCTTGCGTTCGTGGCTACAATACAAATCGCATCCATTGGTCCATACTCTTCGCTTTCAAACTATAGACGTACCTTGTTGTGCTGTACTCGAGCGACCCGATCCCTCGGAACCACTCTCCACTTCTTGTTTGCGCCAACCCAAAGCTCAGGGTGGATCTCGTCTTTAGGTATGACCTTGCAGGTCAAAATGTGGCCCATGAGCAAGTAGTTGTCCATCGTTTCAGCGACGATCCTCGCTACTGATGACGAATCGAACTCGATGAACGCATAATGCTTCGATCGACCAGTCTGCCCGCTCATAAGCCGTCGATCATCCAGCTCACGAATACGAATCCTCAACACACCTTTTTATTCCGAGAAAGGCGTAGGCGAGTTACGTCGCCGAATTGCGAGAAATATGACCGCATCTGATCCTCGTAGAATCCATGTGGTAATCTTCCAAGGTAGATTACGCCACGGTCTTCTGCCTGCATGACGACGTCAGTAGCGAAATATATCAATTTAGTGCACAAAATGGTGTTTTGACAAGAGTGCAGAGCGGCAGGTCCAGAGGCCAGTGTCGCATAAAGACGATGAGGATATAATATAGCCAATTTGGACATATCATAGCTAGTAAGAGAGGCTGTATGACGTACCGGAACTTCCTTTGCCTTCTCCAGCTTCCTCTTCACCACTGCATCATCTTTGGCAATGGTAGGGAGCTTAGCCATATCCAAGCCTGTCCATTCCTCCTCCATGTCGTCGTCCGAGGAATCGGCATCCGTAGAGAAACCCCACAAATGAGCTTCGTCTTCAGCCCCAGCCTCTCCAGATTCCTCCTCCATCTGCTTCTTTCGTGTCTTTTTCTCTGTAGTTTGCGTGTCACCTTGCGATACGCCGGATTCTTCGATAACAGCAGTAGTGTCCATAGCCACTACCACAGGTTCATCGACAATTTCTGATCCAATAGGAGGACTTTCAATGCTTGCTGCTGCGGAGTCCTCGATGTGGGCCGCTGCAAGATCCTCAACGTTTGCCACTTCAACCACCTTCGCTTTTTTTCGCTTCCGCTTCTTCTCCCCGGCAGGTGTGGTATCCTGCACAACCTCCGCATCCATGGCAGCAGAATTGGGCTCCGTGGTCACGACTGTAGACTCCTCGACGTTTGTTATTTCATTCGCCTTCCCTTTCTTCCGGTTGCGTTTTTTCTCCTTAGCGGGCGTGACGCCTGGTGCGACCTCCGCATCCCCGGAGGCAGAGGCAGCCTGGGCGATTACTACTGCAGGCTCTTCGACGCTTGTTACTTCGATCGCCTTCTCTTTCTCCCGCTTCCTCTTCTTCTCTCCAGCAGGCGTCGCGACTGGCGCACTCCTGGTAATAGAAGCGGTCTGAGGAATTACTACTGCAGGCTCCTCGACGCTTGTTGCTTCGATCGCCTTCTCCTTTTTCCGCCTCCGCTTCTCCTCTCCGGCAGGCGTGGCGACTGGCGCGACTGGCGCACTCCCGGTAGCGGAAGAAATCACCGCGGTCACCGCTACAGGTGCCTCGGCGTTTGCTGTTTCAATCACCTCCCCTCTTTTCTGCTTTCGCTTCTTCTTTGTGGCAGGGATGTCGCCTGACTTCACCTCTTCGGTAGCAACAAGTTCTGTAGTCGCTGCAGGCTCGGGGACTATTCCTGTTTCACTGACCTTCATCGTCTTCCGCTTCTTCTTCTTCTCTTTAGTATGTGTGACATCTTGTGCTACTCCGGGAGCGACTACCGCCGCCGGAGTAGGCGCGGCAGGCTCTTCTGACTTTGTGGGCTCATCCAATTTTGAAATTTCGCCTGCCTCCACTTGCTTTAGCTGGCGTCTTTTCTCCTTCTTCTTCGTGACCTTCTCCGACCCTACTGCCCCAACCTCCTGCGCCTCTATAAGTTGCTTGCCCTTTGCGGGTTCCTCGTCCGCCGGAGTTGCGCTTCCTGTGGCAGGTTGCAACACTGAAGTACTCTGAGCTCTTTTCCGCTTTCCCGTCTTGGCGGAGCCTGTAGGCGCTGGTTGAGACATAGTGAACAACTCGGACGAGGGAGATACAAGTCAGTCGGTTCTAGCTAGTAGGATTTTTTTGGGACATGTAGTCGATCACCACGTGCATTTGTTTACCAACGGCTTCCGATCCAAACAACCGCCTACTGAGCGCCTGAACCGACCATGTCCATGATTCCTCGATTCGCTAATCCTCATTCACTAGCCGACTCACTAGAACCTACTACTCGGAAAGTCATCGAACAAGAAAATACAGCAGTTGCAAATTCCGAGCAGAGTGGTGAACAGACTGGAGTTCTCGTCGAGTTGGAACGGCTGGTCAAGCGGTCTATAGGCGATATCTACCTCAATCCGACAGAGGATCCGTCTATCGTTTCGCAGAAAAAACGTCGAAAAACTCAGAACAATGTCTCTGACTCTCATCCCGAAGATTCATTACGTGCGTGTGCTTATGAATTCGTGGACAGTGCTTAGGGCTGATCTAACTGTGCCAGCGTTCCGTCTTATTTCGCGATCGTTACCACCAGGCCTTGTGTTGTTGGATGTCCCGCCACCGCCTGTCATCTTGTCAGCTTGTGCTCGCGTTTATTACATGTCTTTTGGCTCACTTTGCGTAGGGTCAATGAACCTCCTTGTGAAGATGATGACGAAGAAGCCGATCGACGTCGGGCACGGGCTGCTGCCACTGCCGTAAACTTTGATTGGATAATTCAGGAGTCTCGCGTTCCAGTGTCTGTATGTTAACCTTCTCTTCATCGTGTCACGCATGGGCCTGCTGACATAGCTCGTAGCCCCGCAATTGTACCCAGAAGAAGGTTACTAATGTTGCTGGGGATCTGCCTGTACCTCATCCAACCTTGATGGTTGTAGGCCTTGTAAAACCACCCCCAGCGACCTCCAGGCTTGCCCTTTCATTGCCTGCCGATTTCGCCTTATCATCTCCTCACGAGCTGCCATCAGAAGGTGTTGGCTGTCCTCTTGTTGATGTTGCGATTCAACAGGAAAGTACAACCCCTGCTAAGAGAAGATGGCGCAGATCTCGTTCTGCTAGACAAAGACCTCCCGCGACGTTCTGGCGACCCTTGCAGGAATGGGGCCCAAGGGCTTCAGGGTACGCCATGGGGTACGAGGGAAGCTGGGCAGTTTCGCATGACGACCCACAACGGTACAAATATCAACGGGACACCATGCGAAAAGGTGCAGTATCATCATGGGACAACAGTTATTTGACGGACGCATACCGTGCAAAGTGACGTATGGCAGTTCACATCCTATTAGCAGCACGCATCTCGGAGGTACAACAATACTGAAGGGTATATTCTTCTTTAGCCTACACTCATCTCGTCGATTTCTTGGGTGATCCGTGGAGGGAAATCTCTAGTCACAATCTGCTTCCCCTTATCTCTATCTCGGTGCTCACGCATTTTCTGTGCCCATGCTTCCTCTCCACCAGGAACACCCTTAACACCGAACGGGCCTGCATCGACACCAGTTTCCAGCGCGAGCTCAAGCAACTCCAACACTTGGCCGTTGATGGGGTCAATGCTCAGCGTCTGATGGAGATGGTTCATTGAGCGCAGTTCCACAGCAGTAAGGGGAATATACATACTTCATGATACTTCACGATGGCGGCATCAATATCACCCAATAGGTGATATGTTACGCCGAGGAAGGCGAGGGCCGTTTGATTTCGTGGATCAATCTTAATAACCTTCTGATACGCCGATTTTGCCTCTTCCAGTTGTCTGCTCAGAGTGTCACAGCAGTTAGCCACGCACAGCGTCAGTCCTCTAACGATCTCTTACCCTAGCCGCCGGTATGATGTACCCAAATTGAGATATGTATTTGTCCAAGCCCCTTGAGACGTCTGGACTACCTTTGCAAGCTCGAGCGCTTCGGAAAACAGAGCGACTGCCTGCTCAAAGCTAGCTGAATATCAGTTTCATGGTCGCTCGTCCAAACTGAGATCGGCTCACTCTCCCCTATTGTATGCCATAACTCCGCGTTCATTCACCAGCAAAGGGTCAGCATCACAGATGCTCCTTGCGGCTTGAAAGGCCTCGTCAGCCAGCGAATGATTTGAGAGCACAATGTGCTCCATGCCAACGAACATCAGCGGTAAATGTGATCTGTGCAAGAGGTAAGTATCCAGTTGCGAATTTCCGATGTGTCCGCGTTACATACCCGGTGAACATCCGTGCACAAGTGGAATATGCGGTGACTGCATGGTCGTGCTCTCCTTCTGACGCAAAAGTATGTGCAAACGCAATCCACGCGGGTGCGAAGCGCGGATCCATCAGCGAAGTCTTGCTGTCACGACCAGTGAGCAGCCCGGCTTCTTCAACATCTGGTAACAAAAGGCTCACCTAAAATATGTTCGAGCCTCTGCCCACTTTTTCGCAGACAAGTACCAAACACCGACCGCATACCAGCTAATCGGCGATTCTGGTTCCTTGTCCACTAATTCGTGGGCCATTATGAAAAGTTTCGAGTTAAGATGACCTAGGTGGTGCATACACGCAATGTGCAAGGGCATTGTCGCTGCATGTACGGAAACAAGACCAAGTATTCTATTACAGCGTATGAGCAGGGTGAGTGACGCAGATTAGAAACCAGAAACCTACCTTGAAGTAATAGCGAAACAATCCGCCCACCTGAATTGCGTGTAAAGCGCGTCCGCGAAGCTGAACAGTACATCTGGGTTGTCACCCAAGCCGTACTCGTCCACAAGACGTGTCCGAGTGAGAGCGTGTTCCTCGACGTGCTTAAATTTTCGCAATCGGGATGTGTACATCAGCCGGATAAACTCGCCATCCTCTGGCGTTTGCTCTCGATAAGCAAGACTTTGCACAAATTCCCATTCTAGTTTTCGTCAATACAGTTTGTATACCGCGATCACACGAAGAAATACCTTCATCTGGCGTCATCATCTCCCCAGTCACGACTTGTTCAAAAGACTCGTAGCATTTCACATCAAGCCCGAGAGCTTCCATAAAGCATATCTTTGCTTGGTCCCCTCGGTTCAGCTTCAACATCAGGAGCCCTCGCAAATGGCACATTGAAGCTTCAATCTGCATCTCAAGTTAAACAGCCCCAAGATGGAGTCTTCTATACACGCACTTTGATCCCACCATCCATATTGGGTACATCGCGCCCACTTTTCCCGGACGTTCTGAACGGATTTGCTTCGCCAAGCATCTCGGTCGCCTCCGTCCACTTACCTTGCCGGACCTGACACTGTGCAGCAAGATATCGACATGCAACGCTCATATCCACCAGCCGCGAAATGCCCTCGTCATACTGCACCGCGACATCCACCATCTCACTTGGACCGACCGGCAATCGGTCGATGACAGGAGCAGTCATCGGAATCATCGGGAACAGGCTCTCCTTCCCCTTTCCCTTCATGTCTGTCGCCAAAGGGAAGTGGCCATTGCTGAGGAGTGGCCGTACATGAGCAGACTGGGGTGGCGAGGTGGGGAACGGACGAGTGAGGAGCCTCTCAGCGCGCGAATACTGATGAGTAAGAAAATACGTCTGGGCAAGCCAGAACGCGTCATTTGGGTCATCTGTATCGTTACATTAACCACCGGTGGGGATACCGGGAAAGTGACTCACTGGTCCAGCTTACTATCTTGTCTCCCCAAAAGGCCGCAGTATCATACAAATGTTGCATGAGCGCGTCGTGCCTCCACAAGCGCATACGATCGACAATCCCCCACTGGTAATCTTCCCCTTCCAATTCAAGCTCGTCACCATCATCTTGAAAGACGTCTGTATTGTCACGAGCGAGCGGATGTCTGCTTGTACTGGTTTTCGTTCTTCGCGGCAGGCGCGGTGAGGAGCGAAAAGGGGATGCCTGAAGAATTGATCGGTTAGGGTCAAGCGCGAAGGACCGCGGGTTGGAGGCAGTGCTAGTGTTCGCCAGCGAGTTCAAGAGTGATTGTGGGCCGAAGGAGAAGGAGGTGTTTATGGAGTGGCGAGGGCGTGAACTGGACGGAGATGCCATAGGCTGTGCATAGAAGCTTGATGGTGCGGGCGACGGCGTTGAAGCCATCATAAGGAGATGAAACGAGTTAGAGAAGTTCGCATTCAGGTAAGTTAGTACGCGTACTAGTAGCGCTTACAACTTCACGTGGCGGAGGTTGTTAGGATCGAAAGCCTTTGCCAAACAATTATGTAATGGATTGTGCGCGACAAATTTGGAAATCGATGAACTCCAGCACAAGGATGCGTTCATCCGGTGAAGAGTTCTTCTTATCGATGTGACGATCCGTACTTGCAAATTTATATCGCTCGTATCCAATCTCATTCTCTCTACTTTCCCCATCTTTCCTTACCCTCGCCCGAATAATTCTGCTTCATTGTTCCCAGTCACCGGGGACGTCCAAATGTTCGCGCTGACATCGTTGATCGCATCCACTGGTCGTATCACAATACAGACTATTGCCTGCTGTGATATCCTTAGATTTTCCTGGGTGTTCCTGAACAGCGACGCGCTATGTATGACTAGCATCATTGTCCACACTTGGACACACGAGTCATACCGGCGCATCGAGTCACCGCTATAAGCAGTTGTCGTTATCCACTATATGGCCTTAGTCCTCATTTCATGGTTGGGCCTTGAGGCATCGACATTCCATGACTTATGCAAAAACCAATTATGATCATTGAGGTATGTCTGCTATCTTCAACTTCATGTTGCTGTTTTTCATTCACTTAGGTGGAGGGTATGATGAGCAAAGGTTCGATGACTCCCGCTTGCCATTCCAACAATTCCATGCCACGGCCCTCAGTGCATGGCTTGACGTTTCGCAAGAATATTGCCATACTACGGCGTTGATTCTTGTGACTTCGTGCATTGCTGCCAGAGCAGATAGGGATACAAGTCCAAGATTAGACAAATGGATATCATACTCGCTACTCGCTAAACTAGAGCGGTGGCAAGTTTAAAAAAAATAAGTTACGAAACTCAACGATCAGCGAGCCGTAGATGGTGCAACATAAGGTAAGTCCGCCTATGGGACTGGACGTCAATCGTACATGTACAGTGAATTGATGCATACCGCGCAGAGTCCAAGATAGAGCCAGAGGCGAGATAGAGTTCCATTAGGTGTGCATTCATTCATAATAGCCTGCTCGTGGCAGTCAGCAAACATTGACGAGCGTGTAGCATTGAACATACTGTTATCCAGAATCTCATATTGAAGCGCTGAGGCCCATTGCTCTTGCACCGGCGCCGATAGCACCGTCCCACCCCAAGAATCTCTCGCCAACTTTCTCTGATGCGACGTGCATATCCTCATCGATCCACGAGCTGATGCCTTTGGATCTCGCCCACACCGTGATGAACAATATCCTCTTCAACTTCCTGTTCAAAAAGAACCAATGTGAGCTCCAAAGAAGGGCACCCCGCCGCTTCATTCGAATGTGCATCGAAGACGACATTCGGAAGGGAAAGTCGTCCGAGTCCTCGCTAGATGCGGTGCGCCCGCTCTTCGCACTCTGCCAAGTCGGACGATGTGGTATCTCGTCAATGTCGTAATCGTCAAACTGGAATCCGAGTTCATCCTCGTCAGTAGACGAGTCTTCGTCTCCGACGGATGCAACGTCGTCTTCGTCATCGGAATAATCGTTCGCATGAGGGTCAAATTCCATATCCGGCGTGTAGGAATAGACCTCACACTCCTTCAGCCCGATCACTTCGTCCAGTATTCGATACAGCGTAGGATGGGTGCCTGAGACCACCTTCGACGGTGCATAGGGACTCGGTTTGACATAATTTATGGGAGAGGAGGATGTCGGCACTGATGAAGGGAAGAAGTCGGCAGAGGTAGGTGGGTATGCGGAGTAGGTGCGCGGTGCTTGCATGCCTGCGCGGTGAGGAGAGATCAGAGTGGTGCTGAGAGCGGTTAGCACGCTCGCGCCACTCTCCTCGCGGCTGAAGTGCCACGGTCGGACGTCGGAGAACTCGTGGTCAGGAAATGCGATGTTGAGAGTGGCGATGAGGAGGTAGAGTGTCTTACGCGAGTGGTGTTCCTGCATGGGGCCGAAAGGGGTCATATCGGGCTCGCGCTCGAGTGCCATGAAAGAAGGGATGGGTGGCGAGCTGGAGACCTCATCATTGTATGCGTTCTCGAGCGACCGGAAAAGTTTCTTGTCACGCTTGATGTTCTTGCAGCTGTATGCCTCTATGCGAGTGTGCACAGAACACTCCGGGCCTTCGTGGGTGAGCGCTTGAGCAAGGCGAGAGAGCTCGGGAAGCTCGATGTACTTCATCGACGAGGCAGGCCGCGGGTAGTGGTAGAAGTGCGGAAGGTAAGAGGCGTAAATAGGAGGTTCTTAAGTGCAGGTCGTCCGGACACTGGGGGCGCGAGCTGGCGATGCCAGTGGCAATTGATCAACGTGCGGAGCGCGTACAAACTGCGCATAAACACGCCTCCGCGCCTCCGTCTGCACGTTTGCAACGCAGCCACCAATGTCAGCCAGTCCCACCCCCGTGTCCCTCTCGACCCCATGCGGATCCTTGTCATCATGATCACCAAAATTTGTGTCCTCGCAGCCTTTATCAGTGACAATTTACGATACTTACTCTTCAATTGGGACCGCACGCGGGCGCTAGTGTCTCCGGTGCCGTTCGGACAGTAATAACATATAGTAGGGTTAGAATTCAGAGGAACAAATGGTTGTGCCAATGGGCCTTTCTACAGCATCGTTTCTGAGACCGGTTGTTGCTGTGTAAGTTTCTCGCAGCTGGAGTGAGCGAGAAACATTGGCAATTAGGTGACATCGGTCAGGCTGGTAATACCTCCTAGGAAGCTAGGCCTCTTTACCATGTATCAATACTAAACTGATCCTCGCCGAACGTCCGATAATTCTATCATCTCTGTGATATAGGTATCACCGTGATCGCATGTCTGATTGTTCCAAACTATATCCTCCGACGCACGCAAATGGCCCGTACCACTGCTTCTCATAACGAGTATCGGTGGTTCATCGAAGAGCAACGTGCCCAAGTTGCCGACAAAGCTGGCAGAAGCTCCTTCTTGCAAGCGACGTACATGACGGAGGTTCATGAGGAATCTTGAAATGAGAATACCAGAAATCCTGAAGGCGCATGAATACGAGTAAACCATTGCTGAAAAGAGTGGAGGATCGTACGGTGCCACAAAAGACGCAGTAAAGTTTGTGATAGCCTGCAGGTCGTGGAAGTTTGAGGTAAGATCAAGCATCGGTGTAAACGTATGGCACCATACCCCGCCAACTGGCTTCATGACCATCTGCAGGATGTTGAGTAATAACAACGCCCTACGACCAGGGCATCCATCAGCTCGCATAATACACTGGGTTCGCAGAGGCAGGCATACAAAAAGTACAATGTGCCTGGGAGAGCACTCAGGAAGGTTCAGATGAGTGGAGCAAAGCTAGATATTGCGTACCATCTCGAGCAAGCAGTATCGTCAACGGGGTTTTTACATTCCTAAGTCGCTCTCTGGCCCTGTACGTGTGGATCCAGGTTATGCATAGAACAATGATGTCTGCAATGAGAGCGCAGATTCTGGTCGCGAGTATTACTAGGGAACGAATTGTAAGTCTCTACCTTTGGGTGAATAATTGGAAGGTTAACTGCACAACTGGGGACACAGCAATAAGAAATTCTGCTCCAGAAATCGCTTTGAAATACTCACTTATTATAGGTCTGCAACGAGTAGTATTCTGTGTAAGTGCAGACGGGCATGTTGTTTATGACAGTGACGTAGGCGTTTGATGACTTCGCCATGAAAAACTATACAAGTGGATATCAACACTCCTGCATTTTTACGAGTATAGAGACGAATCAAACTGACTATGCTTGCACCCGCTGGTACCAATCCTAACCCCAATGTTATGATGGCCTGCCATCGAGCGCGCTGGCCGATGGCATAAGCACGAAGTGCTGAAAATACTTTGAGAGCCGTCAATCTGGGGTCGGAAAGATACCTCTCCGGAATGATAGACATACATGCTGAGACGGAATAAAGCAACAGATAAATAATGTTGTATAAAATAATGGTCGCTTCACAGCTACATGCGTGCCAATTCCGTTAGTCAAGTTGAGTACGAATACGAAATAACTACGCACCTCTATCATGACACAAACGACAAATGTACGTCAGATGCACGGTAATGGGGATACCAAAGCAGGAAAAAATACCAGCGGCGTACTCCAAGGAACGGTTTGCAGAATAATCATAACACCAAGGGCAAGAACGAGATATCGATTCAAGAGAAACAAGATAGTGGCACCAGTTACCCTTTGCCAGTGGCCCCAGACCAAGTAGATCTCATCCGAGAGCGACATCATGTGTTCATGGAAGATAAGCGCTTTGCGATAGATAGTAGAGTTAATTGCCATCGCAATTCTTCGATTCTGCGTCGTGGGGACTTACTTCCAGCAGCCATTTGACAACATGTGTCGGTAAACCTACGCGGTGAATAAATGAAGCTGTGACCAGTTGAGATTATACATTACACGCTGAACGCACGTTAATTGCAGAGCTAGAACTTCCGCCTCTGTCACTGTTGTCCCACTCGACGATGTCATTTACCAGCACGTCAAAATTGTGGACAGTGGCCGCGAGCGGGCCACGCCCTTGGAAGACTCTGAGATGCCAGCAGGATGAGAGACGGGTACGTGAGTGACGAGTCGACGACGGTTTCCAACATTACGGCGGCCATATATCAAAGATCGATGGAGTGTTGAAATTCGAGACGGGAGTAGCGCATAACGTGTTTGGCAAGTCCGAGGAGCGCAGTCGTTGGCGGATCGCTGAAGATCTGCATCTCTCCGCATCAATCTGGATGCTAAGCGTTACAACTTATAAGTAAGAACAGAAACCCTACATAATATTCGGCTCACACCCCTGGAACCTCCCACCAGGTCCAACCCAAGTCCGATTGATTCCTATAGTACCACCCTCGCTGTGGGGCCACGCGACGAACACCTTTAGCAACGACGAGTTGGACGACACGGCCGCTCCGGGAGTCGGAGGCTCGGAGCCGCCCTATGCCTTCTTGAATTAGTGTGGTGATACGGTCTGCTTGATCTCCACGGACTGGATCATTCACGTCGCGCTCATAGTAAGGACATGTCTTGACTGAATCAACGCTAGCTGGTCAAAGGAGACAGTCAAACCCATTTGGTCTCGTGTCTCCCGGACGAGCTACGTGTACAATCCGGATGCGTGCATCATTCGTGGCAAACTCTTGGGACAGATATAGTGCAAATGTGGGTCTTTGACAGTTGCATCATCTAACAAAGTCCCGAGGGTCTGTATATCTGATAAAAACGTGTGTATTGGAAATGACTCGGATTCGTCGCACACAAATATGCTACATGCCCAGTCATCAGGTTGATCAAACTTAGACCCCATGCCCTAGCTATTACATAAAGATACACAGCTCGCAATACAATCAAAGAGCTATGAACGTCAGCTTGCTATCGAGATCGGTACAGGTGGGTCATCACTCACTCACAAGAAACGTTTACGAGGGCAAAAGTCAGTAAACGGAGGACACTGAAACTTCCGCGTTGCTACCATTCTCCAAGTCGTGACAGCACGATGCGCCCATATAATCCAGCTCCACTACATCGTTCTTGGCCCTATCCATGTCCGATAGTTGGCCTACATGAGAATCAGCAAATGCGAGACTGAGCAACCGGCTGCGGCTGTGTTCAATGTCTTGCACCCATGTCTTAGTGGGCGTCGCACGGGCATAGTAGACGTATCCGGATGAGCTTTCGTGGAGGTGCAGCATCAAGTGAGATAGGAATATGAATGACAGCCTACAATACGAGATCTCCTGTAAGGGACTCCCGGAAAAAAAGATGCTTTAGAAATGCTCACGGTGATATCATTTCACCTAAGAGGCCAATGTAATTTGCTAGAAACTGGGGAGGTACATTAGCGGTGTTAATTTGCAGACCAGTGAAGAAAAACATACTCCGGTCGTGCAGTAAAGAACTACAATGTTTACAAGGCTGATGATGGCCAATCCCCTGTGGAAAAGCTCTTAAGCAGTGCACGAGAATGTCACACGCTTAAATACGGACAGAAAATATATCGTTCCTTTATCACTAGTTAGGATGTACGTTGACAAAGACAATACATCTCGCACGTACCATCTCTGAGAAGAAGGCTTGCAATTGTACCCTTTCCTCTGACGCCGTGGCCAGATATCTTCTGTGAACGGTAGAGATATACCCAAGCGGAACCAACGACTGTCAAATTGCATGCCAAGGCACACGCGTAAGCCACAGTGTCCACTGGAAGGCAGAAACGTCATTGGTAATCAGTTCCCGTATGCGTATGCAACTCACATCTGTAAGAGCATGCACAGCATCAACAGGTAATCAACTGTATACATAGGCATAGGCACGCACACTACGGAATTCGGGAGAAGCTCTACGCATCCGTTATCTTGAACACCAGACCACGTCACGATATCAATGAACTGAAAGCCAAACATTCAGCAGGATTCGCTCCAAGGTAAGGTCGCGACGCACCAAAGTGGCTCCTAGAGGCACCAAACTGAGCCCTAGAATCAACAACGATAAACCCCAATTTCTACTACTTATAGCGAACACGAATAGGACAGTGATCGCTGGAGAGCGAGGTATCAGGATTGGTACATTAGATCGAGCATGAAGCCGGCTCACCTAGAACAACGATGCTACTGATAACACCTGAAACGCACATGAAGACAAACAGGCCTTCACAACTAAAGTAGCATCAGAAAAACTCTCATGACCATGGCTTTAGGCAAGAATAGACAGACCTCTGTAAAAATAAAAATACAGCTAGGTTGGGGTTGTTCAATCGAGACAGTATGAAGATAGAGACCCACAGCTGCAGTACTCCAGGGCAATATGCTAAACAAATACGATATAGCTGTTGCAAGTATATTGAAGTAATTGAGGGAGAATAAAATGATTTGCGTTCGCCTGCCCGCCTGGAACAGTGATACCGCTTGACTGAATGTGAGTATTTGTTCATAAACAAGCATAGCTATGAAGGGTCAGATTTCTGTGCGAGAAACACCCAATACTGCGACTCACCAACAATGGCTAGTGCGACATCAGATTCGACGGTCCTATTCGCATAATGACGCGCTCAAAATCGACAATACACGAAGCCGAAGACGAAACGACGCACAAACTTTGGTCCAGACTGATCGATGCGGCTTCCACTGAGCTGTTCGACATGGGACCCTAAACAATGTAACGGAGTCAAGAATGAATGGCCAGGTATCCGGAGGAGAAATCTATCACGTCCATAATATATGCACCACGGACGCCTATCATAGGCCCATAAACCGTTCGCGACGGGAACACTTCAGGCACTGATAGACACCTCAGTACCCGGCAAGTGGTTCCGAACCACCTTCGAACCACCGTGGCTACACTAGAACAGACCTGTTGTATATAGTTGGCCAGGTTTGCCCGAGAGAGGTCGTTCCTGAGTGGGTTCGTGGCTGTCGGGAATCGGCAGAGCCCCACGAAACAAGACCAGATATCATTTCGGTCAGTAACAAGAATCAACTCGGGGTCACACACAGCCTTGGAAAACTGTGTTGGAAATTTATCAAGTAAGATGATCGAGAAGCATACTCAAATTGGTTCCTAAGTCTTCGTATCAAAAGGTAGCGCGGAAACCGTTGGTTCAGTTACTTCTATGTTGACATCGTGAGATACGTTTGCATGCCATTACAGAGTTTCTTACGGCTGAAACTAAGCTGAGGCAATCTCCGCATTCCGGACGGTCACTAGGGAAGCGAGAGACTCACGGATTCTGGGAAACTATGAGATATCAACTGTCCATAATCGCATAATCTACAGTGAAATTAACCTGTCAAGCTCATCACATAAAGACACTCATCACGGAATATGGCATGCAACTTACAGCCTCGTATTGAAGCAAAGCATCCCTGAGCTCGTGATCAGCGGTGCAGCGCGGCGCACTACCGAGTTTAGGGGAGACTTCCATGCGATGGATTACATAAGAACCACGGTGGTTCCGAAGTTCGGAAATCAGCTATTCGGTTCAACTGAAGGAGACCGGCACCGTCTATAGATCGGACCACACACTACATATCCTTCCAAAGCAGCATTCCGCCCGAATCAATGGGAAGACTTTGACTTTCATGCCCGCGAGACAAAGCAGATGGACTGCATTCGGCGGAGAACTCAGCATTACATAGAAGCCTGAGGCCGAAACAGTCATGACATTTGAAAGCAAAGACCGCCAGAAAGAGGTATTCTAATCCGGGGCACAGGATTGAGAGCTATTAGAATCAGGATGCAACTCAACTCACCTGCTCGCACACCGCAATATTCTGAATCTCGAAATCAAGAAACTAGTTCTAGTTGCGAATGACGACCGGTCAACTGAGCGGTGTATATTATGACTCAATGTGCAGAAGGTCTCCAGGTAGTGTTCAAGTTGCTGCTGAGTCACACTCGAAACATCGAGATTGAATGGTTGGTGGTACATGTGCAGAAGCATGTAGTAGTACTGCCTACGAAAAGATTCAAGCTCAGACGGCCGTGCCAGCGCCTCTGAGGTGTGTCCTCACGTGGCGATCAGATCTCTCCCGACTGGAGCCACGAACTGAGATCCGAGCAAGCTGGCGAGCAGTAGCAGTTGATCACTATAGCTCAGCCATAAGCACCAAATAAAAAATACCCAACACGTGAAATCCATGCTGAGTGAAAGTTGACAATCAACTTGTCGATGAACATGTGGGTCCCGGGACCGCTACTTTAATACTGCAATACTTGCAGCCGCCAAGGACAAAAGACACTCGGTAGTACGACCGCCCAACGCGCGTAGAAGAAACATTTCTTTGTTTGTTTGTGAGTCTCGTTTATTGTCCTCGAGGGCAAGGCCTTATGTAGACGATAAGTATAGTAGTCTGACAGTCGGAAAACAAACATTTCTTTCCGCCTTATCTCAGTCCGCTCACTCCCATCGCCCTCCATACTTCACATCCACTTCTTTAGGGTCCTACGTCATTATCTCTTTCATCGAACGAATAAATCATTTATTTAAAGACTCTGGTCATCATCAAGATGCGAGAACTATTATCTGCGATGGTGGAGGTTGAGATTTGTGGACATGAATAGACATGCTCATCGCCTTACTTTATAAAATATCCGTTTGGTATATATTCATCTTCGCACCTCGCTGATGCGCACGCAGGAGTTGTGATCGACTGTGTTCAATGTCTTCGAGCCATGTCTTGGTTTGTATCCCACTACTGCAGTGTACATGTCCGGAGGATGCTTTTTGAAGTTGCAAAAACAAACGGGAGAGAAGGATAGGTGGCAACCTATGATGCAAAGCGCTTAACGGTTCAGGGTGATGTGATGGAAAATATACTCACGGAAGCGTTAGTATTCCTAGATAGCTCATGGCTTCTTCCAGCGGAACCTGTGAGCACGGGTCAACAACATGGACACAGCAAACTGTAACGAGTAGATACAGACAATGTGGCTCATACGAACAAGGGCAGAAAGGTGGAGAATAGCCAGCATTCTGTGGGGGGTGTTCAATCGAGAGTGAAAAATATGTTGAGGACGCCTACGCAAAGTATATTGTTCCTTTTCCCCAAAGAGTCAGGAACCGTATCTGGAAAGAGAGCTTGTACGTACCATCCTTCAACAGAATACCTGCAATCATACCGGTCCTCTTGATGAACCCTCCCGGTAAGGATGTTGTATACAAGTATAACCAGGCAGCGAGAACTACAGCAGCATTGCACAGCAGGCCACATATAGCAATTGTGATATTTGCTGTAGACAAGAATGGGGTGATTTGGTAACAAGTTGCATCAGCCTCATCATTCAAATTTATTCAAGACTCACGTCTGTAAGGGCGAGATGATTAAAAAAAAAAGGGTTATGTTCAAGTATCTCGAATACTAAAAAGACGTACATTATATCATCGTGTGGAGAATTGGTCACACAAATATTATCTACAAAACCGATCCATGTCACAGTTTCCTCGCGCTGCAAGCTTAATCTTAGCTATAATCGTCACAATCTAAGATCATAACGCACTGAGTTTAAACCGATTTGGACAAATCCAACTATAAGTGTGCCCAAGGCAAAAATCCAGTTCCGGTTGGCGACGACTAGCATCAACATACATGCAATGACTGCAAGGCATACCGTAAGGATTGCCATTCACTGAATCATTGTTAACTCGCCTGCATCAATGACGACATAGATATCTCCCGTAATCCATGCAAAGATCGTCAATCCTTTGCAGCTGAAACAATATCAGCCACACTTGATATAGACACCACTCGAACTCAGACCTCTGAATTGATGTCATGTACATTAGAGCTGTCCCACCTAACAACAAACAAAGCTGCACCCACGATCGAAGCACTACGAGGTAACACACTAAACAGGCCGATCAGTGCTATTGCGAGCATGTTCAGGTAGTTGATGGAGAATAAAATCGACTGTGTCCGTCTGCCTCTTTTGAGTAGTGAGACCGCCTCACTACACGTAAGCATTAGTTCATATAAAAGCACAGCTAACAAAGATCAGGTTTGGAGTATGAGACAACACTGTCTCAACTTACCTGCGACAACAATTGATAAATAATTTTCGAGTGACCTGTTTCCACCCGCTTCAACCCCTTCTTTCCACATAGAAGAAAATCATGACATACAGACTCTGGATGAGGGCTATCTCTGCGGCGTTGCTCGACATGGGAGTTTAGAGAACAGTTTAGACAGTATCCAAGATGAACGATTGACCGTTCGGGGACGATCTCCCTACCTTAAAGCCATGTTATATGTTTCACGGATCCGGATGACCGGAGCCTATCATGGAGCTGTGCACCAGCGGCCACTGAACATACTTCCAGAGCTCCAATCAAGCTTGTTAGCCACTTCCAGCATCAGCGCATTCAGACCGCGCGCCTCCCTGCTTCTGCTGGTGACTTCTGCTCCACCGCTGTATCTTATCGCCACGTATGGCTGTGTTATAACAGACTGCCGACAGCAGTAATGGTGGTACATTGATCCCGGGGAGCGGAGGCCAAGCTGCATACGGAAATACTGCGTTGCAAAAGATTGCTTGAAATGGGAGCAAAGCTGGAGCATGTCATCCTAAGGAGAAACCACATCAAATGGGGGACAATGTCAACGTGGAGTAGTGGTTCGAGCCCACACTGTGAGACGCGCAGACGACAAAATTTGTATCTGGATATTATGAGAGATGTAGTATCAATAGTAAACCCGATGCAAGAAGACACGATCATAACGTCTAGAGATCAACCCTGTGTTTCGAAGAGAAAACAACACCCGAGACGGCACCCTGCATGACAAAATGCGCCGATTTTCAGAAAGAGTAAATTACCTGGAATTACGGTGCATCACAGAAGCCAGCCACCAACAGCATCTGGAGGACAGAATCCACATAGAGGAAGAACCGAACCAAGTTGTGTACTATTTACTCCATCGTTGTCAAATCCCTAATGAGGAACGATGATACTGACTCCAATTTGCTTCAATCCAACATTGAGAAGTACTAGTAGCAGATCGCTGTTGCGGGGGACTACCCTTATATATAACGTAGCTATGCGCCGCAGAGAGTCGTATTGGAATGGCTCGAGAAGATCATTGACTCGTCAGAAAACGGGCTCAGTTTCAATATTTCGAATAATGTTGGAAGGATGAATGGGGGAAGTGGTCATCAAGGAGAAAGAAAGAAGGAGGAAGAGAGAGAACAGATTCAACTTCCACACTGGTCGAGAATTCAGTAAAATCGGCGCGACTTGCACATAAACACATGCCATCGGATTGCTGAACAGCCGATCTAATCTCAGCTCGCCGTTCAAGTCGTAGTCGCGTCGTCCCACAGTGGGCACCCATCTTCCCCTGCGCATAGTTCATTTGACCGCACACGCCTGCTTCTTATCATGTCCGACATCAAAGTCGACGGTTTCAAGGTGCGAACCTCTCATCTCTGGATACAGAGTTCGACTCACGAGCTCTCCAGTCTTCTACTACACTCGCCGCACTCGCAGCCGTGCTCGACGAGTACAATGACGAGGAGAAGAAGGCTCAGATCAAGAAGGTCCTTATGTCTCTTTGCGTCCTTCGCAAAAATGTCGCTCATCGCTGCGTTCCCTAGACCAACGGCATATTCGAGCTGAGGGTGAAGAATGCCGAGGGGAAGGAGGTCGTCTGGACGATTGACCTCAAGTCAAAAGGGTCTGTGTATAAGGGCCAAGCCAAGTCCAAGCCAAATGTCACCCTCATCATGTCTGACGACACCTTGCAGCAGCTCGCCGAGGGCAAGGTAGGCCCAGTATGACTCTTACGTAGGTTGCATCGTGTTCATTGATGAGCATGCGCATACTACAGATGGACGGGCAGAAAGCCTTCATAACTGGCAAGCTAAAAACAAAGGGCAACATGATGTTTGCCACAAAATTAGATGGTGTTCTGAAGGTGTGCATAACCCTTCCTTCGTGCATGCTGTGGTTAACCGTGGGTTCCTCAGGCGGCAAAGACTAGGGCGAAGCTGTAATGATATTCTCATAGAATAATATATGTACTATCGTAATCCTCCGGTCATACAATGACTACTCCTGAGCTGGGGGCGAGTGATGTACGCCACCATCCAAAAAGAAAAGAACAGAAAAGATTCATCTAGTCAAACATCCCGCCAAAAAGCCCGCGCTGTCGGCGAGGTGTCTGTTGAATCTCGGGTCTGAGCGTTGCTAGGCTGTTAAGCTGCTTCATGACCTACAATGCTTTATTAGCGACTTGACGCATCTGCAGGTTATGCTACTTGCCTCCTCCAGCTTATCCTTACGCTCTTGAAGATCCAGGTGCCGCCTGACAGTTGGATTCTCCCGAGCGAACTCTACAATCTCTCTGCGGTCCAGGTCATAGAGAAGGCGCGAGTCAATTTCTCGCGGGAACTAGAACAGAGGAACTCAGTACATTCCGTGTATCAGAAACCGTCGCGTCTCTGCATACCTGATAGAAGAAGTGATCTAGGAGCTCAATATTAATGAACATGGCTGACGTGTACGCCAGCTTGTCGGCCACCGCATTCAGGAAGATCTCTGGACACAGCACGTCGTTCTCGGGACCCGCCTTACACCGCTTCGACTTTAGTGCAGCCAATCTCAATTTGAGGATACTTAACCGATCACTGCAGAGGATCGCGTGACGACCTGTATGCACCACATTATGTCAGACGCAAGGTAACAAAAAACGGAAGGACAAACCCACCATCAAGCACTTGTGCCGGTGGATAACGATACTCATCTTCTGATACACTCGCTGCATTCTCCGCGTGCTCCTCTTCGATTCCATTCAGCCTCTTCTGCTTGCGCTCCTTCTCCTTCTCCTCCAGCGTCTTCACATATCCCATCAGGCCGCTCAATCTCCGGCTGCCGCCAACTCTCTTGCTAATCTCTTTGAGCTTGCTCTCGCACATCTCCGTTTCCCGCTCGAATAATTCAATCGCCTGCGTCCGGCCTGCCTCCCATTCGCGGGAGTCTACATCAGCCTCGTATTTGTACGGCTTGATGCAGTTCTCCACCTGGTCCGACGTGATACCGATTCGCTCGCGTAGGATCATATGCGAGAACTGGATGAGACGCTCCGCCGCGCGGGGGTGAAAGTTGAACGGCTCCCCCGACGCAATAGAGTCGATTAGCGTGCGTAGGCCGTCCGCAACGAGCAGTGTCGAGTCGCGCCCAACGCCGGATTTGGTGAGGAGCGATGATGCCGCGTCGAGCTTGTACTTCCAATACGCCTCCACGTTCTCCGGCTTCACCTTCGGGTCTGCCGCGAGGGCGGAGAGCTCCACAGCACGCTTGTCCGACCAATACAGCTGTTCGAGCACGTTCAGTACCTTATCGTCGAGCATCGCCTTGAGCTTCGCGCGGATCTGTGGCTTGCGGAACTGCACCGTGAACTCTTTGAAACGTGCCTTAAGTGCGTCCATCGTTTCTGCGACATACGACTCGGCAGAGATTCGGCGGTCGTTGTACTGCACCTTGAACTGGTACTGTGCCTCCTCGAGTTCGAGTTGCACGGCGTTGGTTATACCGTGCAGCGAAGATGCCATGGACGATTCCAAGACTTCCATCAGGCGACTGCGAAGAGTGTCTGTGCCGACCATCAAGTTCGACCCTCCGCCAAAGTGTTCACGATGTGAGCCAAAGTAGTCGCTCTCTCCGTTTCTTGCGAGAAGGGCAGTCGACTCGTTTCTTGCCTTCTTTCCAGATGGCTTGCACACCACGCCAACATAGCCCAAATGCAGTGGGTACCGGTTACCCGAAAGTATCGTTGCACCCTGTTCTGGAGGAACCAGATCCATCTTGGTGATGACACCAATCGTTCGCAGGCCTAATGGATCGACCTTTCGGCTGGCACGCAGAGCAGGGGAGTTGGCCAAGTCAACATCTGCCGCGCACACAGCGAGGACGATGTTGGGTTCACGGATGTACTTCTCACAAAGTCCCGCAATTTTCTCCTTCAAGCTTTCCGGTTGGTCCATAGACGCGATCTGAATATATCCCGGTAAATCAATGAGAGTCAGATCCGGTACACGAGGGCTGTATATCCGTAAGTCTATAGGTTCGTTTGAAACGGCATCAGAAGCGGGAACGGCAAGGTTGAGGTCAGTGAGGGTGCGTTGGATGTTGGAGAAGTCGGTGATTCTGCCGAGCCCAAGAGCTGGGAACTCGCCGTATTCTTCCTGAGTATCTGGGGTGTGGATCAGGGTGAGTTCAATCGGTCGGCGTGTTACCATGTTACTCCCTCTGTCCGAACGGGGATAAATAACAGCTCAAGGAAACGCTTTGCCCACTCACTTTGGCAGGAATTCATGTCCAACTATGGCTTCCAGCACAGAGCTCTTCCCAGAACTCTGGCTTCCAATGACCACGATGCTCGGCAGTTTGAGAGCATCACTCTGGTCGATACTCAAGAGCATACTCCGGACCTCGATGAGTTTCCTAGTCAGATGCATAAGACCATTCTGTCGTGTGTCCGGAGGAACCCCGTCTCCGTTTGCCTTTGAATCAGAAGCAGACAGGGTAATAGCAGCCAACAAAGTAGTTAGAGCAGCCGCGTCGCCCTCGTCTGGGTGCTTATTTCCGGAATGTCTAGGCCCATGGTCATCTCGACTACTCCCGCTATCATTCCCTTCCGACGAGAAAAGATCCTTGAAGAACTGTGGCGCTTCAAACTCGGGAAGCTTTACGTCCGGTAACTTGACCTCGGATACACGGGACGAGACCGACTTGAACAACCCAGAGGCAGAGTCAAAGAAGTCAGTGGCGGAGTCCTGCACAGTAGACATCCATTCAGTCGATTGTTTCTTGAACTCTGCATGAAGCAAGGTTCAACCTTAATCTATACAAGCCGGCGTCCACTTACCTTCAAACTTGTAATTGGCATATGTGAATCCCCCTGCGCCTATGGTGGCAGTCGCAACCGGCACCCTAAATGCACGTAACACGAACCGAGGTATGGATGAGTATGAGAACGCGCGAACATGCACATGGCGCAAAGCAGCCGGAAGTGAGGGGTGAGGGCGAGAACGTAGGTGTCCTGACGTCAAGAATGTGGAGAATTGTTTGTGAACAGGGCGAGAGGTCTCCACCCGTCTACGAGACACATTCAGACCATATGCGATGGTTTTCTTTGTCAGAAGTGCGGAAGAAATCCGGCGGCGAAGGGCAGAGTACATCCAGTCGCAGCTCCGCGGCCAGTGAAGTGGGCAGGAAGTGGCGGTGAAAGACAGGCAAGAGTCAAGTAGCTAACGCGACGGAAATTTCACGTTCAGCATGCGATGGTTACCAGACTTGGACGAGATGGAAAGAAGTGCAGGAGACTATTGCAGCGGTCTTGAGTGTATCCGAATACGACTCGGAAAGCGTTCGCGTTGGTGCCTGCTGGTACGCGTTTTCGGCGCGGCTACAACGGATGACTAAGCCCGCCCATTGCCACACCAGGTAATACCCCTGCCGGCGTCGATAACACGAGTCCGCGAAACTTTTATCTATCTCAGTCCGATTAGAATGCGATGAGCAATCACGAATACTTCAGCGCATGGATATGGGAAAACGGTGCCAGTAAGAACGACCTGTAGCCCAGAGACGTGAGTTCGGACTATCTCGACGACACTTCCTCACTAATAAGACGTCTCATGATCATTTTCAGTCGTAACTGTGTCCTCACTCCCTCACGATCAACTTGCGACGGAGTGCCCGGCTCGCCGCCGGATCTCCCGAACTCCCGCGATGAGATGAAGGATATATAGCACTCTCGGTGCAGGTATTCATATCGCTAACTGAACTATCGTCGCAGTATGGCTCCCAACAGCACTCCCCCTCCATCTGGTGTCTACGTCCCGGCTGTCCTGTACTTTGACGAGAACGAGGACTTCGACGTTCCTGCGATTCAGGCTCACGTGCTGAGGTTGGCCAAGGTGAGCTGCACGTACAATGTCTCCCTGCGTCGATCATCTCGATCTATCCGAATCATTGTTCATTGAGACCGCGTGTATTAGGGAGGCGTCACAGGAATCCTTGTCCAGGGTAGCAACGGCGAGGCACAACATCTCTCCCACGATGAGCGGAAGGAAGCGATCCGATTGACGAGGAAGACACTTGACGACAACGGTTTTCAGCAGGTGGTGATCATTGCTGGTACAGGCGCACAGTCAACTCGGGAAACGAAGAAGCTGTGTGCAGACGCCGCGGAGGCAGGTGCAACATTTTGTCTCGTCCTCACGCCTTCCGTCTGGCCCAGTCAGATGACACCAGAGGCGATACTGAAGTTCCATCGTGATGTATGAGATCCCATTGCGACTTAAATAAGCTATCCACTCACGTTCCTGCTAGGTTGCGGATGCATCGCCCATCCCAACGATGGTTTACAATTTTCCCGTCGTCACCGCGGGTCTAAACCTCGACTCAGATATCATCGGAGAACTGGCGCAGCACCCCAACATCGTTGGCACCAAGCTTTCTTGCGGGACCGTCGGGAAGCTGCACCGACTTACGTCTACTGTCCCGATCACGAAGTTCGCCACCTTCCCTGGTGTCTCCGATGTCTTCCTACAAGGCCTTGTCTCCGGTAGCGCAGGCCTGATTGGTGCCCTTCCGAATGTCGCACCTAAAGCACATATGGAGGTCTACCGGCTATACAAAGCTGGTAAGATAGAAGAGGCAGCCAAGATACAGGCTCTTCTGGGTCACGCTGATTGGGAGCTGGGAAAATTGGGTAGCATCGGCGGGATCAAGACAGTAGTTGCGAAGCACTTTGGGTACGGTGGCACCGTTGTGCGCGCCCCACTCAGTGCACCCGTGGTGACGGCAGCCAGCACGACCAAGTTAGATGAGTTGATTGCGTACGAGAAGACATTGTAAATGTTGTATTCGTAAATGACCACTGTAGCAATACATTGTACTTTCTGTTCTTTTGGGCGTGGGCCGTAGTCGGGAGGGCACGCAGTCTTGAGTCAGCCAGGGATAAATCTTTTAGGCTTGGGTCAGAGTGGATGTCAATTTTGAGTTTGTTGTCATTTGGGCACTGACTGAGTAGTAACTGTCTGCCCATGTGCACGTCAGCTGGGATCCAAGTTTGCACGACGACTTTGGGTTCGTGAATGCGCAGGAATAAAATAGAATCCGAGACCTGCCGTGTGCGAGAAATACGGTGCATGAGACCACTGACGGGAACCAATAATTCTTCATGATGTGTCCATGCTGGTGTCTGATTTGGGAGGGTGGAGAAGGTCATTCAACAAGGCTGAGACCCGCTGTTGTAGATCTTCCTTCTCTGTCTGCACGTGTCTCATTTCCATGTCCCTCCGATTTGCAATTTGGGATTCATCCGACAACAGTAGGAGTAATTTCATGGAGTGAATGATTGAGAGTAGCGAATGTGCAGCACGAATCTGTAGAGGATTCGTCAGCACTGAAGAGTATGAAATGCTAAACGTCTTATATACCATTGATTCTGCGCGACATTCAGCTTGATACGACTCTTGGGCAATGCGGAACTTGTCCTTATCACTGATCTTGGGTGTTGCTGAGCCGTGTGTGTATTAAGTGGGTAAGAGGTATCTTACAGAAGCTATGCCAACCAAGTCAACCATTCCCTCCACTAGCGTGTCGATTTCCACATCCACTTTCTTGTTCCACTCTTCCTCGATGGCATCCAAGTACTCGTTGGAGTTCTGGTCAACCAGAGGTATGGTGCTGCGCTGCAGCAGTTTCGCTGTGGGAAGTGCAGATGGTCGCGAGACATCTGTCTGAGGTCCGTCGGACATGATTATATGAAACGCAGAGTCGACGTAGATGCAGGGATGAGAGCTTGAAAACCGTGGCCGGTGGCAAAGGCGCAACGCGTCTCTGTTCGTCTGCGAACGCCACTCCAAGTACTCTCGAGCGTCACGGTTATCTGATTCAATTGACGCAAAAGCTCTCGCCGTTCAAGAGGCTAATAACACTCTGATTCCTTTTTCGCCTAATCAAACTTTCAAATAATGCGTCTAAGGGCACTCGTCCCGCCTTTACCTGAAAACTTGCTCGATGCTTTGGATGCCTGCGACATCACGACCGACTCGGATCTCATTTTTGTGAAGAATTTAACTGAGCTTTTTCGAAAACTGCCCCCGATGACCATGGGTTTTCAAGAATTCCTGGACCTGGTCTCGCGGGTTATAAAGCAAGCTGCGGCGCCTGCTATTCGCGGAGACCAGCTTTTAGCTAAGGAGCGAAAGCGACGTGAAGACGACATCTATGGCGATTTATCGACCGGTGTTCCCGAGCTGGATGTCCTTCTTGGCGGATTGCGCCCTCCGCGAGTTGTGGAAATCTCCGGTGACAAAGGGTCAGGAAAAACCGTAAGTTTGGATATCAGCTATTAAATATACCTACCGCATGAGCTGGCTTTGTAGGCACTGGCCCTACAGATTGTCTTGCGGAATTTGTCTACCGTATTCGATTCCGCCGCATTATGGATCGACACAGATGGAGCGTTCGCCCCCGAAAGAATACCTTCATTGTTGGAATCCTATCCCGGAGAGGTACCTTTGAAACATGCTGTCACCATCATCAATTATTCTGATGACGAGCAGGGGGTTGGAACGGTACTTGACCGACTGCAAATAGCACTCGCATTTGACGTTGAGACCACCCAAGAGGTCCTAGAGCAGCTGCGATTTTCACTCAGCGTAAGTTTCAATATCCTACCTGAGACCTAGTGCGTGGATGCACCTCCCAAAAGTCAGACCCACCTGTTCCCCCGATTGTGCGCTGTGTTGTGATCGATAGTATAACTCCTCTTCTTGGACCGTTGCTAAGTGCCATCTCATCCCAAGGTATTCCTTCTGATTTTTCTGCGTTGCATGCGACTTCAAAATTTCCTCGATTCACAGGCCACGCTATCATGACCACATTTATGCGGCAGCTCCGAGCGCTTGCGGACACATTTTCCTTGACCATCCTCGTAAGTAAACTTGTTCAATCAGCTTCGAAACCTTCCAAATATCCCCGACTGATCAGGTCATTAACTCGTCAAGTCGGTCATTACCTTGCAATCCTGACTCCGCGTTCCTGTCGACTGTCAGGAAGCCTGCACTCGGCCCGTCCTTTACGTTCCTTACTGACACCACCCTCTGGTTATCGAAAGATCTAGCGGATAGTAGCAATGCCGATGAGGAAGCAACGACGCATGTTGCTGAGATATTTCGATCAAAGAAGACGGTGAGCCATGAATGAAACTTTAGCTTTCTACTTCACTGGGTCGTACACTCTAAATCTCTTAAGCTTACATCAAACCTCCGTCCAGCGCTCCAAGACCTGGTGTTCGTTCAAACTCCGAGATGGAATCCTCTCTGGCACGTAAGCCGATAGTCCAGTGCTCACAGCGGCCCGCCTCCAAGCTACTGTTGTCGTTCCTGCGAATACATCCGCCACAACCAGGAATATTTACGATTTTACTGTCTTCACCAGAAAAACGCTGTCAAGAGACAACAATACTCTCACCAAACCCATACACTAATGATATCAAGACCAAGTCATCTAACGGACATGCCGCCGGTGTGAAGCAAATAGCCTTCGCCCACCAAGGATCATGCACGCGCGACTACCATGATCTTGTCGATGAAGTCATTGAAGTCATCGGAATTGTATGCAGAGTGTCCAGGAAACGATAATACACATTATTACGAAGTACACTCAAAAAGTTTCGCTGTTGAAAATGCTGATATGCATTGCGCTAAATATCATCGAACCTAGTTTGAAAGTGAGCGTATATCCCCTCATAGCACACACGGGGAACGTACCGATCAGGCATGAGCACCGGCGCAAGAAGACTCCAGAAATACAGAATCATACAGACCCAGCTAGAAACGATGCGCATCCACATAGCAACCTCAGATCGGCCAATATAAACGTCATCGACTGAGCCTGCGGTTGCTTTCACAACGTTCCTAATCACAAGTCGAAATTAGAACCAGATAAAAACGACGAGCACGCGACAAAATAGGGAAGATATAACGCAGTGTGTACGGTCGGCGAAAGTCAGAGAGCAAAGATACGTACCAATCAGTTAGAAGCATCGCAACGTACATCGCACCAATGGCGAAGATGACGTGGAACCAAGCATACTTAGATATGGGATTAACACCTCACACAGGTTGACAAAGGAGGTAGACGTACATTGTATCGAGTGCCCGACCGCTCATCATCTCGGGTTTCGCCCGCCGTGTCTTCGTCGTCTTCATCTTCCTCATCTAGTGCTGAGGCGGGGATAGCCCTGAGCAGATAATCACCATCTGCACAATAGAACTATATTCTGTATGAAACCTACCCAGCTTCGACGGCTGCCAACAGTGCTTGATAGCGTGGAGACTCTGTTCGACTCGGCTGGGTGCTTACAACACCCATCTCGGCGTGCCCATCTTCGTCCGAAGGAAGCTGAACCGCACCACTCTTCTTTCCCTTCCCAACAAGGGCGCGGCTCTGTGTCGCCGCGCGGCTGGTCGAGTATGCAATCGCAAGGAACGTGAACAGCGCACCAAGGACAACGGTCGTATTGTGCGTTCCTGTGCCAACGCCGGAGCCAGGCCGGCGAAGAGGGTTGCAAGTCGCGTGCTCGTGGTTTCCGACTGCGGACATGATGAGATACGTGCAATAAGTGGCGACCATGCTCGCCTGCGCAAGCCCGGACCGCGGGTTGTGCTCTTGCACCGCGGGATGAACGCACATGATTGTCGCGATTATGCACAGAACAAGATTAAGGGAAATGAAAACGCGGTTGAGCGTACACTCTGGCGCGGCGAAGAATGCGTAGAGGACACCTGTGAGCGCGATGGATGCAGCATACATGCCAGTAGTTGACCCAATCAAGATCCATTGCCATAAATTCGAGTTAGATGCTTCCCAAGTCTCAAGGCACATTTCGGACCAAGAGTGCGCGAAGTCGACGAGGAGAACGAGCCCAAGGAGAATAAAGATCGTCGCGCCGATAAGTGCAACATAATTCCCCCAGAACATGAAGAAGCCATTGGGGATGAAGAAAGACACAACAACAAGGACGAGCCAGAGGAGGACCTTGGGACCCCACCAACTGAACGACCGTCAACGGATGACGGCATAGCATAGAGCGCAACCACTCACCCGTTCTGAATGGATGCCCTCTTGTCCTTTGTATCCCTGACACCAATGAGTAACGCACTGAGCAAGAAGTGGAACAGCGCCAGCGCAAAACAAATCCGGTGAACCTATGCATGTCCCATGATTGCCAAATACTCTCATCACCGCAACAAAGCTCAAAACGTACCGCCAAAACGCCATAACACTTTCCCCCCTCACAGTCCATCTCAAGATAGCCATGGCTCCATCTCTCTATTGTCTGTATCGCAACTGGTGTCTTCATAAACCACGCAAACATGGAATTTAGACAGAATATAATCTAAACGAGCTCGACGGAGCATACGTGATCAGTTTCACACAGACGTACACTACGAAAGAAGAATGAGACTCACGGCAAATCCAACTCGCGTAGCGATCGAAGAATTGCAATTACAAGACTTGAAAAACATCGACGCTGCGCGGTATTGCGGTCAATATTTTCGAATTTGTGATCAATCCTGCACTCACCAGCGGTTGACGTGAAGCAGAAAGCGATGCCTGCTATGGCAGAGGACGCGACGGTCCCAATTATGCCCGTGAAGGGCAAAGACAACAAGATGCCCATGGTGAGAAGGAGCGGTGATGATGGTGGTACTGAGCAAGTCCGTAGTCGATCCGGCGTCTATACCGGAGAGGGACATATTGTCAGGCAGACCTTAGTTTCGTCGTGCTTAGGTACTGGATATGTTGTTATGTTTTAGCTCTTGTATTAACGTGCGACCTTGCAAGTACGGATTTGGTCTTCCTTCTACCGCCTGATGCCGCCACAACGGTGTCGATAGAGACTTGAACCGCAACCATACCATCGCCACTCGCTGCTTCCCCGCCATGTCCATTCGAGAGCGCGCTATTTTTCAGAATCTAGTTGAAGATGACCGGCCCGAGATTCGAGTTCAGATCCTCTTGGAATCAATGCTATCGGAGGAGCTCGTGAAGGATTTTCTCGAGACTGCACCCCCTCCAGCTCCCACAAAGGTCGGACTTTCACCCGCATATTCTCCGTCTGGTCATCTCACTGCCCTGGCTATCGCAACAACGACACGAGTATTGGTCGTTCAATTCCACAATAAGAACAAATCCGAGAAAGCAAAGGCCGGCCGCCAGATCCTCGAGGACAGTATCTTGTGCAACGCGGACTGTGCGCTATATGCGTTCGATCTCGCCGTGCTTGCCTGCTCGCTGTTTTACGATTACGGTCTGCGCATTGTCAACGGGATAAATATCCAGAGTGTTGCTCATCCCACCGGGATATGCTCGCCACTCGCCGCCATCCAGTTTGGGGCGGGCGATCACGTCGAGGTTCACAAGGAGAATATCGTAGCGTATTTCAAGAACATGTTCTGGGATCCCTCCCGCACTACACCACCCGCGCTTCGTGCATGGATCTCGGTATACCTACCTGTCGTCCTTCCTGACATGGAAGAGAAATTCAATAGTGTGAAACGCGTCAACACGAAAGATTTCAGCGAGACTGTGAGTGTTTCTTCAATGATCGGTCTGATCGTCTAACATGACCGTTTACGCCTCAGTACCTCGAGTACATCGCGCAGCTCACGCGAGGTGATCAGCGACTCGCGTTGAAGAAAGCGCCAACGACTAGTCACGACTTTGGCTGGCAGACGATCAGCAACAAGAATGCAACGGTGAATTCCACGAGGTTTCAGTCAAGGATTCAGAAATCTGCCGTGGGTTATGTACAATTCTATGCCGCCAGTCTATCTTTAACAGCTTATCCATGTGATAGAATCTAGTGATATCTGTGCAGGACGACTATGGTTCAGAATATCGCGTTCATGGGCGGACTGATGACATCATGGGACGCACGGCCACTCTTAAGGCCGGCGCAAGCCTCGAAGGCAAGGTTATCACTGCCATTACGTCTGTGAACAGTGATCGGGCTACCAATGCAGAGACACTGAACGCTGTGACCTTACTGCGGGTTCTTCAGGGAGAGGTTGATCTTCTTGACAACCCTTTTCTGAAGTACATTTTGTTTCCCATGAAGGATGTCACATTCACCTGGCCAGAGTCTTTTGATTCTTCTGATTTTATTCCCTCCATCATATCATCACACCTCAATAGTTCCCAGCATCATGCTGTGGAATGTATGCTTTCTATGACTGATTCCACCAGAATTACCATGATTCAAGGACCTCCTGGGACAGGAAAGACTACTGTGATTGCTGCCTATGTTTCCTCTGCTGTGGCTGCTGGCTTCACTGGGATCTGGCTTGTTGCACAGACAAATGTGGCTGTTAAGAATATTGCAGAGAAGCTAGTGGATGTTGGCTTCACCAATTGGAAGCTGCTGGTATCTGCTGATTTTCATATTGCTTGGTGAGTTGCACTTGATAATTTCTGAGATTACACTCACTGCTGATTCTCATAAAGGCATGAACATCTTTACCATAAAGTTGTCAAAAACATTATTCGATCTGATGAGTTTCAAAGAGCTGAAGGATTGCTGCAAGACTGTCCTGTAGTTCTTTGCACTCTTTCTATGCTTTCTAATCCAAGGGTTAAGAACTTCTCACATATTGTTCCTATTTCTACCCTAGTGGTAGATGAAGCAAGTCAGATTGCAGTCAATGGCTATGTTGGTCCTCTTGGAACTTATCCTTCTCTGCGCAAGGTCTGTTTTATTGGAGATGACAAGCAGTGTAAGTTGTATTTATCTAAGCTATTGTCATCACTAATATTCCTGTTCCTGTAAGTACCTCCATTTGGACAGGATGACAATGAAGATTTGAAAAGTGTGTTTGAAGTACCACATCTTCGTCGCTTGGCAATTTTACTGGACACTCAGTGTAAAGTATCTGGTTTTTAAGTCTGAGCTAAAATTTAATTTTGTTTGGCAAAACAGATCGTATGCCACCTCATATAGGAGGTGTTATCTCTAAGGAAGTGTATGATAACAAGCTTTTCTCAAATCCAGACCATCCTATCAAGACATGTATCTCATATTTTGTTCATGTTGAAGAAAGCTGTGAAAAGCGAGATGGAACAAGCTGGAGAGTATGTGCTTATTTCTCCTCAATGCTTGAGCACTCACTGTAGTATACTAGAATATTGCTGAAGCACAAGCAGTGATCAAAATTGCTGCAAAATTACAATATGAAGGCAAAAAATATCGTATTATTACACCATATGATTCTCAGAGAAATCTGCTGGAAAATGAGATGAAGGATTCTGGCCTCAAATGGCAAGACAAGGTGTTTAATGTTGACTCATTTCAAGGCATGTACTCTTTATTTAATAATCTTGTTTGCTCATTGATTTTGTAATGTAGGAAATGAGGAAGATTATATTATCATTTCTCTTGTACGCTCAAAGCAGGAACTTGGATTCCTGACAGATATGAGACGTACAAATGTTATGCTTACTAGATGTAAGCAAGCTATGTATATTTGTTCTCACTGGGATTTTGTTTGGGGAGCAGCTAAAGAAACTCTAGTTGGAAAGATGGCAGAGGACTGGAAAGAGGAGACATGGCAGAATGCAGAAGATTTCAATGATCTTCAGGAGCAATTCTAAATCATCTCTAAAAAAATTGTTTTTGTATTTTGGCAACTTTGATTATATATGCTTATGATGCTCAAACAATAAGAGCAAAATTTTATAAATCCCAAATACATGAATGTTTTATGAAGCAATAGATACAGAAGTAATTTCTAAATTATGCAAAGCTTCTATAACTATCAACTTAAATTCCTTAGTTAGAGCAAAGAAATTGGATATAGTTAACTGAATCCCAGACTAAATTTCTTGACATCTGCCAGGTTTCCATATTCTGTCAACAATGGTAATCTTCAGGCATGCAAGCCCATACAATTCATTCTGCAGCCATCTAACTATGATGAACTAAATTTAAGAATTCTAATCAGACATTTTAACACCAGTAATCATGTTGAAATTGATCTTGCACCACAGAACTCATCCTACTGGTGCTGATCCTTCACATCTGACTGCAAACAAACAGTTCATGTCAAACAACTGTTCTCAAAGCTCAAGGAGCCATCAGTCAATTGTATTGGTTAAAGCATTACAAATAAAATTGATGTCTAGATAGGACAATGTAACAGTGATTGTCACATTTGAACCTTGCAATATCTGAGCCTGAAGACAGGCAGGAATGAGGGACAACTCACGCTGGTACAGGAATCAGACATAGCAAGGACGAATGCCGTACCGCGGATGTAAATGTGCGAATCGTCTCAGTATGTGAATACATGCGTCAGAGCAGTCGCAGTGAAGCATCTCCGAGTCCTATGCCACACTAGTTGAAGCACTATTCGGATGTATGCGTTCGGATAAAAACGAGCTAAGGGCAAGGACGAATAAGCACTGTGCAACAGACGCATGATTCAGCCAATATATACCGTCACAAGCAGGTGGGCGAATAAGTCGCAGCGACATAACGACTCACTGAAGAGCATGGTTGGATGTAGCACTGACCAATACTCTTTGTTCCCTCCACTCCATACTCGTCAAAGCAGAAGGATCCGAATCTGCGACGATGATTCTTGCTCGATCTTCAGCGGTAACACACTCGGGCTTAATATACTTGTCTATAACCCAACCCAGCCGTTTCCAGTCGGGCATATTAGACGCGGGCTGCTATGCTATCAGCAGGTGTACCAAATACGTTTCCATCGATTCCTTCGACAGTCGCGTATGGCGAGATGGCGTACGATATGACTCGAACAGGGCACACTCACCGAAGTACGACGCTGGCACGTAGATGATATATATTGTGCATGGCATCGTAAAGTCGTGCCAAGAGGCGAGGAATCCGCGCCCATCGTCGCGCCTCTATCATTCCAGACAAGTTATCCATCAATTAGTATTGAGGGCATACTTCCGCGCTCTTACCTTGCAGTTGGGTTGACTAGTCAGAGAGATGATGCTCCGTTCATGAGACTAGATTGTGCCGCGGACATTTCAGACGGCGCGGGAGAGCCACTGTGCAAGTCGTGCCGCAACTTCCTTCGCACATGCCGCGTCATGAAGAAACGTAGCGTCCTGCGTTCGGGTCTCGGTCGTTATCCCTGTGACTCTCGGGCGTTTGACTACTTACGGTGACCTGCTACGTCGTGTTCAGAGCCCGGGACTGGGTAGACCCGCCGGAGACTATTTCTTTGCAGCGGTTGCCCACCCCCGATCTTCTTCCACCTCGATGAGTATTTTTTTAGCAATGTTGGAAATGACCATCGCTACGAAAATGGGAATCAAGATAATAGACGTACCGCGAACAATTCTACCGTGAACATCAAGTGACATATTGGTACCGTTGATCAACATCTTCTGCCACACCCATGTCATCCCATACTGCAGAATGATCCGCGCCGTCATTCACGATAGTTTGATAATACAGCCGGTGATTATCCAACTGACGACCGGCCCTAGGACGGGTCCTTGGAATGCCCAGATGGATAAGCATTCCCTTCTGTAATACAGTAGTATCAGAAGACCAAACGTCTGGTACACGAGAGGATAATCAGCGATTCATGAGAACGGCTTGAGTTTCAAAGCTCAGAGCCCAGACCTTCAGGTATATACCATGCCATGGCTACTAGGCAACACTGATGCGATCGTGTTACAAGGGAGGGAAATGAACCTACCGTGCGATGTCTGATAGGAACGGACTGAATGCTGATAATTCATACGCAGATAACGCAGAAGAACGCGAGCCATGTCAAACGATCTGCCGTCAGATGCGAGTGCAGCGTCATTTCGTCATACTCAGCGGGGCGAATAACGATTGCCTATGAATACACCAGGATTCACATACGATACTGAGAACACGGCGCAACGTCGCAAACAGGGGTTGGAATGACATCCGCAGCATCAAGAGTCAGATGCAAGAGGGATACGAAGAGCACACGGCCTCTATCGACCTGCCAGCTTTGCGTCCGCGATGGGATTTGCGTGTATTGTCACCTGGAGAGAGAGGGACGGTGAGTGAAATTTGTGGACGTCAGTTCTCTGTCAAAAAGACGTCTGAGACAGCGCGACGCTGTAACGCACGCCATAAGTCTGGCGGCAGTGCTCGGTTCCCCAGACGGAACGAACGGCGCCCGATTACTCTGTGACGCCGGTGAGTCTGTGGGTAGAGCCGAACAGACTCCGTTCAGATGAGCGCCATCACGAGGATGGGTCACGGTGAACGGGAATGGTGAGTGCGCGCTTCGATGTATTTTCATATTGATGGACCAAGGTGGATATGGGTAAGAACTTACATGGGTCAGCTTGATCTCCGTCAGTGGTCTGTTTTTTGCGGTCACTGGGGTGCGCTCCATCGCGTCGAGCGCGGAATCAGCGCCATCAATGACCTGGCAGCGTCGATGAGATGACAAGCTGGAAGAGGTAAGCGCCGCGAATTACATACCTTGCCAAAGATGGTGTACTTTCCATCGAGATGTGGCTGCTTCGAATACGTTATAAAAAATTGGGATTTATTTGTATCTGGACCGGAGTTGGCCATAGCGACGATGCCACGGTTATTGAACTGCAGTCTTTGGTCAAAATAACGTAACGGAGGGTGAGATGATGTGCGCCTACCTTGAGCGTGGAACGAATTTCGTCGGAAAACGGAGAGCCCCAGAGGCTTTGTCCGCCCTTGCCAGAGCCGGAGGGATCCCCGGTCTGGATCATGAATCCCTTGATATTTCTGTGCCAGATACACCCATCGTAGTAGTTTGCAGCGCAGAGCGCCAGAAAGTTCTGACAATATGTCACCGGATGAGTGGGGACTGGAGAATGAATACTAGAACGTACCTCTGCGGCCTTTGGGACAGCCTCGCAGAAGATTTCTATCTGGATGATGAAAGGTGGGCGAGACAGGCGCGGTGGGTAGCTGGAGGCCTACCTTGATGTCGCCGAGGGTGGTATGGAGGGTGACTGACTGCAGCGCGTGAGGCCATCAGCTGGAAGAGAACGCAGAGGTGCGCACCATGGGAGGATAGAACGATTGCGGCGAGTTGGGAGACGAGGTGAGAGCGGCTCCGCGGCAACGCCATCACGGGCGGCAGGCTCGGCGATGGCGGAGCCTTTTGAGGAGAGCGGCCGGAGGGAGCCGAGGACGCCGGGAAGAGAAGAGGAGGATTCTGGCAGGAAAGGGGCGCTGTAGACCATCATGGCAGGCCGCTGCCTTCTCCCTTATAAGGCCCGTCCAAGCGTTCCTTCTCTCACCCATCATCCCCTCTGCTCGCCCTCTCTTTTCCCCGCTCTTGACCTCCCATGATTCGTACCTCCAGGCCGCCCTCTGTTCACAGCACCACCACCGACTCGGGTGACCCGTTTTCTGCCATCCTGCGCCCCCCAGCCAGCGAATCGGAGCGCGACAAATTAACCCGCATCCAGAGGGAGGCTGACGCGAAGCGGATCAGCGACAGTATCGACGAAGAGATCCGAGCAGACGAGAAACGGTACAGGAAGAACAAGCAGGATGTCAAGGTAGGTCCCCGATTTTGCAGCACATGCACACACATTCGCGTTCTCTCTCTTCTTTCCTACTCCCATCCCCATCGGACGATGGTACTAACTCCCGATATTGTAGCTCCTGTTACTCGGTCAAGCAGAGTCGGGAAAATCGACGCTGCAAAAGCAGTTCCAGCTCATCTACAATCCAAACTCCCTTGACGAAGAGCGGCATTCCTGGCGTGTCGTCATCTTTTACAACATCGTGCGGCCTGTGCTACGTATTCTCGAGGCGCTTGACTTATATGGCGAGAATGATGATGATGACGACGCCGGCACCGAAAGGACTGCAAGAACAGCGAACAGCGCGTTTGCGCAGTCGTCACCATCGCCTTCGCCGTCCGTAGACCAACGACTATCCTCTCTCCGTGACCGCCTCACTCCACTGGCTTCGATCGAGTCTGCACTAGCGGAGCGGCTATCGGGCGGCATCGCCGTATCCGGCTCAGGTAAAGGAAGTGTGTTTGTGCGCTCGGGTTGGCAAGCACGCACGTTTGGCATCTCATTTGGCAAAGCACGCGAACGCACGAGCAGCGTCAAGGGGCGTTTTAGCTTTACTGGGCAGCGGAGCGCGCTGGAGAACGCGCCGGAGGGTGGTAGAGAGGACGTACAGGAGAACCCCAATTACAGCACGACTGAACTACCAGAGACGGAGAGAGACCAACTTGTGGAAAACGCTGCTGAGATGCTCAGCTCGTGCAAATACGATGTACGTGAGCTGTGGGAGCATCCTGTTGTGAAGAGATTGCGCGAGAACCGCAGGCTGAGACTAGAGGAGTGGGCAGAATAGTGAGTGTCGGCTCATCGAGATTTGCGGATCGTGCACACGCCTTTTAATAATTTACTGATGCTCACATCTTTCTCCGCAGTTTCCTCAGCAACATTGATCGTGTTTCTTCTCAGGACTACATCCCGACAATCGGTTCGTCTTACAGCATCTCTTATTCCATGCAGGCAACTGATTTCGGTGCAGATGATATTCTTCACGCGCGCATCCAGACCATGGGCGTCGCCGAACATATTTTTGAGGTGCCTCTTCATGGCCGGATGGTCACTTGGCATCTCTTTGACGTGGGCGGCGCTCGAGGTCAGAGACATACATGGGTACCATATTTTGATGATACGTACGTCGTTGAATCCATCATCCGAACTGGCTGTTTAACCCTTCGACACTTTAGGACGGCCATAATCTTCTTGGCGCCTGTCAGCGCGTTCGACCAGGTAAGAATCCTTCGGGGGTTGACGCTGCATCAACCGGCGTCCTCAGGTCGAAAGCGAATCTGACAGATTGGATCCTAGTACCTAAGTGAGGATCCAAAAACCAACCGAGTGGACGATTCCTTGCAGCTGTTCAAGCAGATTTGCTCCAATCAGCTATTGAAAAAAGCGCATCTTGTTCTTTTCCTCAGTGGGTGGTTCGGGCATCTAAGTGCGGAGTCTGTTCTGACCTTCGTGGCAGATAAGCTAGACATCTTAGCCACCAAACTCACTAGGGGGATTAAGGTTAAGAAATAGTGCGTTCTCATAATCAATTGACACAGCAATTTGTTGACGTTTTGACAGCATCACATCGTATGGCGAGCGCCCAAATGATGTCGATGCTGTTGTGGGTTACTTTAAAGCGCATTTTACCCAAGTCCATACACGAAACAACGAAAGCCAGCGAGTGCTTTATACCCACCTGACGAGTGTGGTCGTATGTATTATTTTCCATTCACTCCTTATTGTTTTCTTATGCGTATGACAGGATACCAAGGCCATGCAGAGCATCATTTCCAATGTCCGCGACTCCATTTTCCGGGACTATCTTAAATCCGCCGCACTGGTGTAATTAACATCATTCCACGTTCGTTTGGTCTGCACTGTTCCTGTCGCGCGCTTGTCAATTGCCACGTTGTAATCGGTCTTGGACTCACACGACCTCTCTTTCTCTTCGTTTTACCTGCTTCGCTGTCACAAGGCCTGGGTACGCCGCGGCAATATCATGCCTGGTTGTTCTGTATTTGTTTGCATCCCTAGAAGTTGTGTAATTATTCCGTAGTTGTCGCTGTTGTCCTGGCGTTCTCCCGTCCGGGATCCTGCGGGTCTTGATGTCGCATAGTGTCTCTGGTTACATTAAGCCAATAACGTGGTCTGTCTGTATACTTTGATAATAATCTGTTGTTTGTCATACTTATTGTTTTCTGATTCTTGCAACGTACCTAATGTAGCCATTCTTCAGCATTGACATGGGAACAAGTGGCTTGGACTGTCATCCGGTATCATGGAGCTCATGACATTGCATCATTCCGAGAGATATTCCAGATCAGCATAAAGCTGAAGCCCGACATCGCCGCGACGCGTCGTGGCGCATCGCGTTATCATTCTTCTAAGGCAAGTTAACAACACCCGCTCTCGCCGGGCACTGTTCCTCAGGTTACATGTGAATTGAGTTACCCATACAGGCCACATGATAGAGGGGTCCATGCGGCATCGCCTTGAATTTGTCAATGCAAGGCTCAAAGCAGCTAGTTTCCTGGAGGATGTATGCCAAGTGGGAGCGTACACGCGAGTCAACCATGACAAAGTTCTGCATTGATATCGATGATACAACGAACGGCACTTCTACAGGTATCATCACCGCACGGTGCATACGCCCGGCGGACCCGCCTTGATCGCCTTGACGTTCATTTCGGTCTCCAGCTCGCCACATCGACTGGTCACCGTTTGATGAAGCCCACGAGCTCCTTCTGGAGCTCGCGCTGCCGTCGTGCCTTCTCGAGGTCGTCGATGCTGCGCAGGTCATACACGATGTCGCGCGTCTTCCCAAAGTACACCTGCGAGAGTGAAGACGAGACGAGTGAGACCGGCGCAGATGGTATACATGCAATAGCATACCTCTTGCAGGAGATTGCGCATCTTGATCTCCATTTCCTCAACCATCCGTCCAGTGTTCGAGATGTGCGACGCTTGGTCGTGAAGCGGGAGATCCTGCTCGCTCTGTGCATCGCGGAGATGTCAGTGGGCCCTACCCCGGTGGAGAGGCTGATGGCCGCACCTGTCTCGTCATGCTGCCGCTCAGAACCACTTCGCCCTCACGCTTTGCGTCAGGCTTGTCACTATCCCTGCTCTCCTTTCCTTCACTAGCTGTGATGGCGCGATCCGTCATCTGCAGCATGACCGTGGAGGTGAGCTTGTAGTGAGCCTGGCGCCCCCGCTCTGCGGCTTCAAAGACGTGAATCGAGTCCCACGAACCAGAAGGCTCCGTGGATGAAGCAGCGTTGAGGACTATGATGATGGTAATGTATGTGACCTATGGGCAAGACAAGTGAAGAGAAGCGCGTCGTACCTTTCTTGAGCAGGACTACGCCTGCAAAGCCTCCGTCGTCCAAATCCCAGAGAAAGACGGAGGAAACACCCCCTTCGTAGTACCTATATTAATTGTGGTGAACAGTAAGGCTCGGGTGTACGAGAAAAATACGCACATCTCACGATATGTGTCGAATGCCTCGTTGGCGGTAATTTCAAGCTTGCGCAGTCTAGATGAAGGTACGGTACCATCCTCTAGTGGGGGGTCGTACTCGTTCGACCAGGGAGACCTAACAGGACCAGGATAGTTCAGTTTTGAACCTGATCAACTTGTAGTTTCTCTTTCCGCCATCACTCGCGCGGCCTCCACTCATCGCATTACCAGACCATAAGCAGAGACTCACCGATAGCTCTCTCCATCCCGATTATAATCGCACGCGAGATATTCTTTCCCCGTTGCTCGATCAGTCATTATTTTAAGTGGCTGGTCGACGCTCCCAAGCAGGTCGTCCGCGTAGTCTGGGCACATCGCGACGAGGGAGGCAACATTCTCCTCTACCTGTGTAGGCGGAAGCCGACGCATCAGGTCGAGCATTGAATCGACTAGGTCGGCCATCGTGGGGGAGTGCTAGCGGGTAAGATAGTGTACGTTAGGGCTGGAGGAGACTGTCTGTCTGGCGAATCATTGGCGCAAAGTTCAGCCACTCCACACACTGCGCACTGCGACTCACTGTTGGTACGTGTAGACAGACTAGGTACAGAAGGTCGGCACGATCGATGTAGGGTGCGGAATAATAATCGATTGGGAGTGCAGAACACGAAATTGAGAGGATTAAGAAGGCCTGGATGCTTTTAATAACGTGTGCACTTAGCAGAACCGAAGTAGACCTCGAAGATGTAACACCGTGTCACGATCATTTCAACTCGCCTGCGTTCGGCCACAAATAAATGACATTCGGAAAAATCCTCTAAACAACTACCACACTTCTTCACCCTATGTCGAGAGAGAGAGAGATACAACATCTATAACACTGTGGCACGTACTTGGTCGTCGCAGGTCGCACAGGCTACTGCTTCCAAGTTACTCCAGGGCCCGCTGCAGGACCCGGACTTGAGTTTGACCGCCATCCTCCACTCGCAACCTGGTCCGATTCAGTAAATGAGTACTCGCTCTTAATAGCTTATAGACATTTGTGTATGCTAAACGATGGCAGAGTCACAACATATTCGGACTAGTGTCTACGAATAGTCGTGCTCCTACCGACATTCCACTCGAATTGCAGGCTCAACACAATAACCTCTCATTCAGCAACTCCAGCGATTCCATGTCAAGATTCCTACGAAGGGGATGAACAACGCCCTCGTCGATATCATCTTACAATTGTCGTTGTCTTGTCATAGACTATGCTAGTCCTAGATGCGTTGGCTATCATCCTCGAGCGACCAATGACCCACAATTCGGCTTGGTGACCATGGTTCCTGTAGGCATGATGCGGCGGTGATGTCCTCCGACGACAGTTATGCTAATGTTACGGGTTTGCCCGTCTCCCAAGCCTATCTTCAAGACCAGTGCCTTTCCATCACTGCAGAATACGAGTACCACATCATAGATTTGTTCAGTTTATCTGTGAAATAAGGCAAGCCGGCGCCGCATTAGCTGCTCATTCAGATTTTACTAACGGTCTGTAGATCGCGCCACTGCGAGTGCCCCACAACGGGAGCGTGAAGCCTCTCTTGACATGACATGATTACGGACCTGGATCGTCTTCTCAACAATTTGATCCCGGTCGAACCCTGAAAAACATCTTACAGTCTTTGCCGAAGTCTGTCGGGAAGAGCTTGCTACTGCACGCGTGATCAATGTGGAGATGCCACGGCAATCACCTTCAGTGGTCGGTACCGACCATGGTTCTGTCTCCCTGTTTATTTCAGAGCAACCCCAGCCCTTGCGAAAGAACGCCAGGTCCTTCTTGCTGACCCCCCTCCCCCTACTTCTATACCAGAAGCTGCCAAAGGGCGATCAGTCCGGTGTCGATACACTATTTGCGTAGCTCATTGCGGAGTCGGATAAATTATAATTAGATGAAGCTTGCGAGGTACAAACTTATGTCTTCATTCTTCACCAACTTTATTATCTATATTCCTGGACGCTGATGACTACCCTTTATCCGCAATCCGGCCCTCTCCTTGTGCGCTCTCGTTCTTTGCGTTGGCTATTTCCATTACATTGAACTTCTGGAACCTGTAGTAGTCCTTCACTATGCTTATTCCACATATACTCTATACAAGTGCTCATCTTCAATGCACGGTCAAAATAAGAGTATGTCGTACATACCTTGAAGACTTCTACAAGTATAAAGGCTTCTGCGTTCTCTAGATCAACCTTGTGTTTTTCCGGTACACATTTCGCCAGCTCTTGGATTAAAATTGGCCGCGCAATTGTGCTGTGATTTCGCATCCTGAGCTCGATTTTATACTGTGACCGCCGAGAAGAACTATTAATATCATGGCTTGCCGAGCGCAGAGGAGACCCACGTGATAAGTCCTTTCTGGATCTTCTTCGAAGAACGGACTGACGACACGATTGAACAGAGACTTTATCTCCGGAAGATTTGCAACACATGTGGCCGAGATAGGTGTGAGGCGTTGAGTGAATCTTAAAGCATCGTAGAAGTATTTGATCAATGTTGAGTGAATGTTCATCAATTCAACTCACCTGGTATGCGTTACGCCTGTATCCATCACAGTTCGTACATGCTTCATGACCAGTTGAACAGGATCGACAGGTGGCTTGCATGATATGAAGACGACTAGAACAGTAGTGTGAGCGCATACTCACAAACATAATCAAAGTTCATACCGCATTGTGTGTTCGTCTGACAATTACCTATAAAGCGCGATGAGTGATAGCTGACATATCACGAACGTGGACCTACCGAACCTTTGCTCTTTCCGGGGACGCTTCATCGACAACATCTCCCTCGCAATTTGTTTCTCAACGTCGCCATCATCAGCTTCATCGCTGCCCGAGTCGTTTCCGCCAGGTGTCTCGTTAGAACTGTCCGGCCATATCTCCGATGCGAGCTGAGGATCGTGCTCGTTCTTAGCAGCTCGAGGGAACATATGCGAACTTACACTCTCGAACAAGTCATACAATTCGCCTACAGTTTGTTTTTCCTTTCCCTTTACGCATGTCACCCACACCCCTGGTCCGTCCACTGAACGCTGGCCCCATATTGGCGTACCGTCCTAAGGAGTCGACAAAAGGATTAGCTGACAGCTCGAAAGTAGATGCCCGCTGGATGTGCGTACTGGACGATACCTTCGTCTGCTCCTATCCTTTCCTTGAGATTTCCTCTTGCCATCGCTCATTGCTGTGGGTTTCGTTTGTCGTCCCCAAGATGGCCTGCGAGGAGAGAGACTCGGACAATCGGACTAGAGCAAGACTGGAAGTTATCGCGATCAGATCTGGGACGTGACGAGATACTGCGTGACAGCACAGAGACGCGACCGACATGGTCGTGACTTGACGCGTCTGTTATAACGCGCTGCTAAGGTCTCCTCTAGACTAGAGTAGCAGCACCAGTAGTCACAGTACACTCTCACGAGGATGTTCCCGCAATCACTGAAACTTGCAAATAGCATGAGATGATACATAAGAGGACACAGTGTTGAATCATCCACTCGTGAATACCGAAGCGGTCTACAGGGATTATTGTCTCACATTTTGTATATCTCGATCCTGACGCCTTCAGAATCCGCGAATCGTTTCAAGGCCGATAGGTAGAGGTACATATCTGTAAATTGTTGCAAGACTCGAGCATTGTAGGCAGTGTTGTCTTCGAATCTAACAATTGGTAGGGAATGAATATCATGAATGAGGAAGGTATTGCTTCTAGGTCGTTAAATCTAAGACTGAATGACCGTCGTCAGTTGTTCATGCGTAAGTGGCATAGTAGAGAAAGCATACGTTATGCATCTACTACACTACTTTCGGGCAGTGCGAAATGATATCAGCTCCCGCCCTCACGTCCATAAAGCAAGTTATATGCCATGCTATCAACTATCTGTCAGTGCCCAATATTGTATTCATCATCGACGCCCTGTAGGAAATCCAGCATCTGTAGTGTCCCGGTAAGCTCATGAGTCAACTTATCGTAACTGCATGCCTACCAGCTTGTGGCGCTTCTCAGCTAGCTGCTTTCCTTGCTTCGTCTTCAGTCTTTCTCGTATGTGCAGCAATTTATCGTGAAAGTGCTGGACAGCGGAGGAGGCATGTGCAGGGTCGTCAACAGGTGTATGCAGGGGGCTATATAAACTAAGTTAGTTGGCTGGCAGACATCGCTTCAATCTCACGCACTGATTTGTCGCGGCGCTGAATGCTGCACAACGCATGATGCCTGGAAAATGATATGAAGGTTCGCTGTCGTATCTGGGTCTTCGATGCTCAAGTACGGGCACTTACCGAATGCTCCAATGGCATCCAGCCTGTCTGCGTCTTGCACGCAATGCAGTTCCACACATTGCTCATGCCAGTCCTCAAGTAGACCTTCTTTACGCAGACGCTTTTCCGTGCTCCAAGAAACATTGTCCACAATCTTGGCGATGGTCCGCGCGCGGCCATCTTGCACAAGGTCGATACCATGAGCTGTAGCAATTTCTTGAAAGAAGACAAGGAAAAACGCGTAAGGATCCGCGGCCTCCGCAGCAGACACGTATTTCTTGTCTAGGACGTCGTGAAGCAGCGCCGCAATTTCTACGACAAGCAGGTCCGGTTTCGCGAATGCATTTGGGTCGGCAGAGACGGCCCGTGCGAGGCTCAGAGCAGTCTTTCTAACGCGTTGTACTGGGTGCTGGCTTCTCAGTCTTGTACATTGTGCCCCGCTGGAATCTGGCGAAGAGGAAGGATGGCTCACCGTGAAATGCGTCGTGCGAAGGATCATACCTGGCCATTGTTGTGATCATGAGGGCCTCCGCAGCCTTCACGGCAGCAGCTTCTTCGGGGCTCGGGTACATTATTTTGTGAACGCTGCCAAAACTAAACAAAGACGTGTTGATAGTGAACGAACTCGAAACCGTGTTCGCGCCCAGCAGCATTTCGCGCACGTGACAGCGCTATGAGTTCAGCCACAAGACTGTCGCAAGGCATCGTCGACATCGTACGCCCACCATGGCCCATCGCTTGTTTTGTCGGCGGCGCCTCCTCTTGCTTGCCTCTGTTGCAGGCATTGTATCCGCACTCTCTGTGTTGGCAGACAATGCCAAGGACCCTCTCGCCATTTCGGTCAGTCCTCACGCGCACGTTCGCTCCAGAGAATCGGCTAACTACAGCCCTTGACGCGCGCACTGTGCTTCTTGTTTCCAGGATGCGGACATTCACCATTGTGCACCGGTCCAACAGCTGAATGTGATCAAGCATGAACTCGAGGCAGGCCAGTCGCCCGTCATGCGACAGGTGTTCGCATGGCTCTTTCCCTTCGGACCTGGCTGGAATTCCGGTGCGTTGCTCGTCAAGTTTTCACAGACGAACGTGTCGCGGTGAGGGTGCCGACTGGCTGACCTTTTCGTCCGCATCATAGTTCTGGGGACGTTCTACATTAGCTCGTTAGTACTGCCGCTGCAGGACGTAATGCGTTGACGTACCTTTATCCCACAGCGTCCCCAATTTCATTCTGGCATTTATTCCTGCTCAGATTAATCCCAATACATTGAACACTATGACCGCCTTCGCGGTGAGTGACACGACGCGCTCTGATCCACGGAAGAGTGCGGGTGAATTGACTATACGGCCTGGAAATCCTAGACCGGCGGACTCCTTTCCGATGTCTTCCTGCATCTGGTGCCCCATTCATTCATGGGCGAACACCAAGACGGCGGCGTCCACTTTGTCATGGTCGAGGAGAAGCGTAATATTATAATTGGGTATTTTTCTTTCTCGATATATCTAGACGGTTATCTTATTGCATCCTTCCAGGCTAGGCATCTTCGTTGGCTTCGCGTCTTTCTTCATCATGGAAAAGACCCTGCGCGTGTTGGGCGGTGGGGAAGACGGGGATGCTGGGCACTCCCACAGTCATGCTCACAGCGAGAAGCACGAGCCAGAGAACGTTCGTCAGGCGTCTGGTGTCGCGCTGACGTCTACGACGAACGAGCTAAGGTCTCGTGGCTCAGACCAGACCTCTTCGCCGATTGCAGCTGGGTCGTTAGATCACGAGACAGAAAAAGCTCCCAAGCAGTCGTCCAAATTGTCGGCGTATCTGAACCTTTTCGGCGATTTTGTACACAATATGTGAAGTGATATTCCGCTGTCCTGTCCACATACTGATTCTGACGTTGCTTCTCCTTGGCTTAGTACAGATGGCCTTGCGTGAGTTTTTCCTTTTTTTCTCGCTGGAGAAAAAAACCTGATGGTACTTCTGCGCTTTTAGGATGGCCGCGTCATTTTACTCTTCGCCGCTCATAGGGGCAACAACCACTCTCGCTTGCTTTGCACACGAAATCCCGCATGAGATTGCTGACTATTCGATCCTCGTGCGAAGTGGCTTCACAAAGAAGCAGGCCATGCAGTCGCAATTTATCACAGCCATTGGTGCATTTGTGCGTCTCATATAACTCTATGCCTAAATAGTGATTAGTGCATTTTACGGCACATTTATCCGCGAGTTCTCACCCTCTTTATCATTCTCAACCCACTCGTCGTTTTTCCGTCGCCCGTCAGCGCACGGGCATTCAGTTACTACTATTCTTCAAGGGATACTATTCCCTTTTAATTTTGCTTCGTGTTGTTTGCTCGATCTCTCTTACGTGAAAACTGACCTCGTCAGCTGTTGTCCCACCGTTAGGTCGGGTGAGTGGTTGTTCTCTGGGGGATAAACATCCGAGTCCCTGATCGAACGTCAATTGATTCGATGCTAGTACATTTATGGGCATCGGCATTCACAATCTCTCGGCGTCTGGCACAGAAGCAGAGGCCACGGATCTCGTTGCAGCAATCAGGCAGACGGCAGCTGGGATCCTGGGGACGACTGTGCAGCTAGCGGATCTTGTGAGTAATGCCTCCTTCTACGGCAGCTCGTGTTGTGTAACGTGGACGTTGGCCGCAGGTTATCCCGTTTGTGGCGGGCGGGTTCATGTATATCGGAGCAGTTGCGGTGCTACCAACGTAAGTCTGGCTGGAGCGTGTCCTCAGGTGACTCGTTGATGGACCGCCTGTCAGACTACTGGAAGACAGCAAGAGTGGAAAGCAGGCACTCCGCGAGGTGAGTTATCTCCATACAGCGTGGCTCCCGCTCATTAGGATTGCAGTTTGCGGCGATGTTTTTCGGGGTGCTCTGCATGTTTCTTGTCGCGTGAGTGCTTATACTGTGCATCATTCCGGCATCTGTTGACAGAAGTTCTGTAGATGGAACGAATAGATTTCCCGGGTGTGACAGGGCGTGCGAGGAGTCGATAGATCTCGATAGAAAGAGAGCGGCGGAGAGATGTGCTTGGAGTGCATTGTTGGCTGAAAATATATATCATGCTTGGTATTTGTGGAGGACGTAGCCTGGAGATCGTCGTGGCCGAAAGAGGGGGAGAGATATGAATATATATACCCCGAGATGAGAGAAGACGAAGGGTGGTTGATCGCCCTCGCAGGCCAACTCTATTCTGCCGTCGTGCACCCAAGCCGCCACCGCTGCGGGGAGGGCGAGTGGCCGAAGAACGTGCGTGCGAGGATTGGCCTGGAGGCCGGGCGGCCACACGTCCCTCCTCGCCCTGGATATTTCGCGGACAGCCCGTGTCGACTCGCTCCGCCCACAGACGCTCTTGCGAGTTCATAAGCTTACCCGTCCTCGTCGTGTATCTCCGTCTGCTCGAGGTCGTGTGCCCGCCGCGCGATCCCAACTCCGAGATCCATTCTGGTGAGCCCGAGCCTTCGCGACGCGGCCCGCTTCGTCTTGACGCTCACCACTATGTTCCTCCAACAGCCTGCCCACGGATAGTCGTCTCTACTTTACGTCCTTCTAGTCGTGTCCGCCTCGCTTCACGTCCCTAAAACCCGCACCACAGAGTCCCTCCGTCTTCGCCCGTGGCCACCTGGGATTCTCATCGCCGACGTTGTTACCCTCCACCGCCCTCTCTCTTCCCCTCTACGTCTCACACGATGAGCAACAAGGGCAGGTCCACACCTCGCGTTGTGTGCTGTGCAATCCCCATCGCAAGATCTGCAGGCAAGGTTCTCGTAGTCACCAGTCGCAAACGACCAAACAATTGGGTCTGTGAGTCGCCCCCCTGCCACTTCAACCTCCTGTCGTCCGCTGATTTTGTCTCTCCACGCTATCCATTCGTCGCTCACCAGTACCGAAAGGAGGTTGGGAGCCCTCAGACGGGATGCTAGAAGCAGCAGCCTCGCGGGAAGCCTTGGAAGAAGGTCTCATCCGTTCCTCTCATATCCCCGCATCCCCATCCTGACCCTTCCCTCCCCTCTCGCCCGTCACCTCTTGCCTTACTGTGCATTTTCTTGCAGCGGGCGTGCGAGGCAAGATCACCCGATTCGTAACCACAATCCCCTCCGCGTCATCAACGTACCACTTTTACGAGCTCGACGTCGCCGACCTCGATGCCGACTGGCTCGAGAGCAAGGAGCGTCGCCGCGAGTGGGTCGACTACCCCGAAGCCATCCGCCGACTCTCGTGGAAAGCCGAACTCGCCCAAGGCCTCGCCCTCTCGTCTCTCGCCCCAAGGCGGTGACCACGGATCTGTGGTGGGCGGCGGGGCCCGCCAACACAAAACGTTGCAGCGGCCGGATGTGCCCCCTGACGGCGGCCAGCGACGACCTCAACGTTCAGTACATCGGCTTCCCTGGCCATGCAGCCCTCCAGATAGACACTCGCACCCTCGCTTTCGCCCTGCAGTCCCCACATGCATGCGCGTCATCGAATAGAGCTCCCTCCCCACACCGCCGATCTGTCGTTATCGTTCATAATTACTCGCATATCTTAACCACATCCATCTCGCTAGTGTATCATCCTGTCTGGCACCGACTCATCCCTCTCCCCCGTTGAGATGTACTTAGACGTGCATCGGTCGTGCGTTCTCGCCATGTTACATGTACATTACATTACTTCTTCACGTCGGGCGTCCGACCTATTTGCTGGATCTTTGGACTGCTAGGCGCGAGTGTCACCATACTGCTGGCTGCGCTGGGAACTGCGCGTACTCACTGTAACTACGGTGTTAAGGCGAACGGCGACCGGTTGTGACAGCACCGGGCCCGCTGCAGCTTCCACGGTGCCGGTGTGCACATGGCGGCTTTCGGAAATCGTGGGCTAACCTCTGATGTTTTTGTGTAATGTGCTGACGTGGCCCAATGCCTTTCCTTGCAGCAGTTTCATGTTCCGTGTCTCTGGATACGTTTTTGCTTTTTTGTTGTGCCAGGTACGCCGTGTGCTCCGCTGAAAATACTCGTCACTGAAACTTGACGCTCTGAGTAGGCGATTACGCATCCAGCTAGCCATATTTGCGGACCGTTGCAAGTTCTATCATCACACCAGCATGGTGATGCACCACGGACCGTCTTTCCGCCTTCCAGGAACCTAGCCGACTGTGTCGAGCTTCGCTGCAATGCCGTTCCTGAATACATTCTTGTGGTCACAGCACCCACACTTGTTCTCGTCAAGACGCTCGTCGATACTTCCGTCGGTTCCTCGTAATGACATGGCTCGTGTGTGTCGCATCCAGTTTTATGAAATGCGGGTGCGCACCCTGACTCCGAGGCCGCATCCGGCATGTTCGGAGCCAACATGTTTATACCAATGTTCTAGAATGAGGTGAGTAATGTTTCTCATACAACCAAACATGATCTCGAACTAAGGGCTAGTACGTACCCTAGAAAGCTATCAGATCCTCCCCCGGCATCGCGTCGTGACCGACGCACGCATAGGTCGAATCGGACCTGGGCGACCATGCACTACTCGAATATGCCGACTTCGAGCGAACGTGTGGCTCGCACGGGCTTCGCATGGAAGGTTGCGTAGGCTGTGCGGTGTATGTACCGGCACACGTTCAAGTTCACGACCCGTCCAGGTCTTCTCGCCTGGTTGGGCCGGCCCATCGTACCAGGCCGAGGAAAGCCCGTGTTGGGTGTGTACCATTTGCGATGCCGCATAACAACAATGCGAAGATCGAGCAGGCCTCAAGGATTGCGACTCGCGAAGCCGCCGGTTCGACCGCGGCTTTCTCTAGCTTGCCCTGGATGTCAGAGACCTTCTGACCAGAACTCGCACATGCGTGTTCGGACAAGTCGCCGTTTCGAATTGTGAGATCTGCTGGTGCGTGCGTATGCTGCTTGCACCTGCGAGCTGTTCGATTCCCATTCCATTGGCTTAGCTGACGGGCTAAGGAAGAAGCGGCGTAGATGCCGTGTCCATATGTCTGCGGCGGTCTGCCGACCTACTATCATGATCAGTCTAGGGCTCCCGGAACTTGGGGAAGTAACGGTTACCTGTCTAGAAAAAGACTGGTGACTGCCTTCGTCCTACATGCTATGATGCTATCGACGACCATCTCCTGTCAATCCTTTTGTACCCATTGAAATTATTAGGGACCCAAGTTCGCAACGTGCGCTCCGTTGAGTAATGGACTCATCAAGCCCTCGAGTATTTGGGCTCCACGTTCATTCCTAAACATTACTTCCGGTCCATTAGTCGATTCGCGGAAGCTTTGTGAACTGGGTCCTCGCAGTATCCTACGACTCACTTCAAACGTACGTGAAGAACGGTGGGGCAAATGCCGACTATTCTCAAGACGCGAACGTAAGAATACATTGATTGAGATGCAAAGCGCGATAGCGTGTATCCTCCCCGCGGGTATACAACATTAAGGGGTACATACATATAAACCAAAATGATGTACGAGATACACTCACTTGTTTCGTCGATACATGTCGCAAACTTAAAATGGGCGGCCTCTTCATTCTTCGTCTTCGCTCCCACCAACGTCGTCCTCGCCCACTTCATCGTCACCAGCGTCCTCCGCCAAGCCTGAGCCCCCATTCCACTGGCGTTCCCAAAGTGGAATCCCGTGTTCGTCTGTGCTAGTGACCGAGAGCGCCGGGTGGTCCTGTGAGAGTTTTGCACGCGCAGTTTGGTAGTGTGCGAGAAGTGTCTCCTTGTCTGCAATGAGAGACTTGATGTAGTCGATTGCTGTGAATAGGCCAGAGTGAATCAGCTACGAACCGGGATGTAGCAGTACTCTAGACGCATATAATAAGATAGAAGAGCATCCAAGTACGCTACAATAGGAATACGTTGCCACGCGCTTGCTTTGATATAACAAACGGCGGTGTGAAGTCGGGTATAAAGCACAAGGAAATACGCACTTTTTGCCAACACTACGTTCTCACTCTTCGGTCCTGCCCGCCCATCCAACCCATTCTCGTCGCCTTTCTTACGCTTCCGTTTCCCTTTAACCCCTGCGCTATCTCCTTCCGTATTGGCGCTAGCCTCCTCGAGCGCTATCGCCTCGCGTAGAGCGGGCACAGCCGCACAGAGGGATTCATATCCGCGGCGGATGTTTGCTCGGCGCTTCTGCTCGCTCTGGATGTGATTCGCGCGCTTTTGCGAAGGCGAGAGGAGCGCGGGCTTGCTGGAAGGGGCAGATGCACGGGACTTGCCTGTGTTTGACGACGGCTTACGAGACTTGGATTGTGGATCCAGAGTAGAGGGCGGAGAGGGGCGCGAGCGTTTTGGCGCACTCGAGGACGCATCTCCGTCCAGGGGCAAGGAACGCTTCGAAGAACTGGCAGATGCAGCCGCTGGTGAAAGAAAAGTGTCGTATTTAGAGCCACTTTGAAGATGTGCCGAGCGAGAAAAATAGTCGCTCATAGGTGGGGTGGCGTAGGGCGAGGTGCTATTCCGTATTGGCGGAAGAGAGCTGCTAGAAGCACTGTAGTGCTCAGACGAGGACTTGGGCGGATCCGATGCACCGAATGGATTCATCGGTGAATTGGAGTTCGACGAGAAAGGGTCCGAAGATGGTCCAGCGGGACCCTGGCCCTCAGGGCCAAAACTGGGCCAGTGGCCCGAACCTGAGCCCTTGAACCCCGTATCCGTCCCAGGTGAAGAAGTATATGTCGGTGACTTGCTGGAAAACAAGCTACGACCGCCGAGGACCATGAGGTCCTTAGTGGCTTTAGCGAGAGCATCTCGGCCCTTAGTGATCTGGATAGAATCGGCGAGGTCAGGGCTGATGGCGTCAAAGTCGATGTCGTGGCCGCGGTCGACGGCGGTGAGGAAGCTGTTGATAGTCAATGTCTCGGAGGAGGACAACAGAGGCATATTGCTCGGGCCTCGTCTTTACATAGTCGCCCACGACGGCGGCTTGTGATAAACGAGACGCGGCACAATCCGAGTGCGGGGCAACGTTTCAAGACAGCTCCCGGCCGACGACAGGTAAGTTTCGGTACATAACATAACGAGCGCAGGGAGTACTCACCGGGCTGCTGGGGTCGCTGGCCGTTGCGGGTGACGATGTTGGGTGGGCTGGGGGTCTCTGCCGCAGTGCGAGAAGGAAACAGCTCGTGACTCCAAGCCGCTCTGTCATGTGATCCATCGCGTCGCACCACTTTTTGGCTTCCGTTTCGGCCTAGCAGCTCACACTCACGGCCGAGTCTCAGCGCGACTGCTCTCAGACATTTGGTCCAGAATCTGACCGACACCTTGTGATTCCATACACGCTGCAGCTTGTTTTCATACGCCCGACTCTATAGCAATCGGCTATGTCGAAGGAACCAACTCGGCATCAGCTTTCTGCCCGACTAGCCTACAATGCTCACACGCCCGCGTTCCTCCTCAGAATGCAGCAGCGCGTCTCAGGCATAGGAGGAGATGAGGATGAAGACGACGAGTTTGAAGACGACGGATCTGGGCGTCCGCCCATTCCCAAACGTCCGGCAATCCCGCAGCGCCCAGACGACGATCCGGGCAGCGCGGACGAGGACGGCATGGACGAGAAGCCACAAGTAGTGGTGCTGAAGGAGGGGAAGCACCTGAGTGAGAGAGACGCGGAGAACGAAAAGCGCAAGGGTAGCTTGGGTGATCCTACTCGTATCGTACGCTTGTTCACAGGCATTTACCAGCAAAGGGTCTACCCCCGCTCCCCGAACCCCAATCTACCGACAGCGTGAAACAAGCGTCTGAGACAGCAGACAAAGCGTCTACGACACCCAAACAGACCCAGGGTCTGTCTTTTGCGTCATCTAAAACAGTGGCCAAATCAAAGTCAGCCAAACGCAAAGCGGTCGGCGACGCAAGAGACGAGGATGGCCCTAGTGAGCACAAAGCGGGGAAGAGCTCGAAGAAGAAGTCTAAGAAAGCCGAGAAGAAACTGCTATCATTTGGTGACGGAGAATAATTGCTATTCTTTCCCAATCCAAGACGATAACTGGTCCCGCTGTCAGGTGTGTTGATACCTTCTCCGTGCAGTCGACTACGCACGGGCTGACCTGTTAGTGTCACACACCGTCTAAGGAGACCATCTGATTAGGCGGCCGGCTTTTTACCGCTGTCGGTGCTGCCAGTGGAGCTTTGGGGGCATTCCAAATGCTGTCTGGAATACAGACCAATGCTACCAATACACCCCAAGTGGCACGTCGGGAGATCCTCGATCAAGACCTGCATATCGTCAGATGCGGCCTACTTCCGCAATCCCGATTCGGTGTAGGACGTGAGGATATAATGTATTGTGCGTGTGTACGTAGCAGCTACTGGTGCGAGCAGTCCTGACGCATGCAAAAAATGCCAATATATCATGGAATACCCAAGTGAGCGATGAAAGATTGTCAAGTACGTGTAGAGACATAATGAGATACTAGTCCAAATGTCCATCTGAAATTGTATCTGAAATTGCAATATGCGAAACCACATCGTTTGTTGTCTCTCACCGACAACATCAACCGATCCCATAGTCCCAGCCAAACCCCCCAACTAAGCACCAGCACTATCCAATCATTATCCGTCATCGTCGTCCAAGCCCTGACAGTCTGTTTCGCACACGCGACACCAGTCCCGCCTCGCTCTTCCTCGTCTCGTACGAGTTGAACGACCCGCGCTTCTCGCCCGGTACACGCGACCCCACCGACTCCGGAACGGACGAGAGCGACGCCGACGCGCGCCCTCGTACATCGTCCGCAGGCGCGCTCGACTTCTTCGCACGAGCAGCCGGGTGCAGCGACCCAAGATGCAGGCTCCGGCGGAACGTGCCAGACGACGGCGCGGGGGGTGCACCATGTGTTGTTGGACGTGTGGGCACGGGCGCGGGTGTGGGCGCAGCAGCAGCCTGTGCCTGCTCGTGCGGCTTGAGCCCCAGTTGACCAGCTTCCCTGCCTCTCCCGGATAGCTCCCGCGCCGTCCCTGACGACTCTGACGACCTTGAAGCTCCAGACGACTCGGGCGAGTTCGTCGTAGAGGAACCGGAAGGCGACGCTCCGCGCAGAGTGGAGGCGGAGAAGCCTGTGCGGGCGGTGCTTGGGGGTGGGAGTACGGGGCGGAGCGAGACGTCGAGTTCGGTCGCGACGAGCTCGTCGAGCAGATCGACGGCGTATCCGGGAATGATGCTTGTCGCGGCACCATGTTCGTCGTGAGCGAGCTGTGCGAGGATCTCGGCCTTAGTGCGGGGGTGTGCCGCGGCGAAGATGTGCGCGATGCCCGTAGCGGGGCTCATGGTGGCGAGTGTGCTTGTGTGGGGTTGTGCTGGTGGGAGGGAGCGGGGGTCGTGCGCGGCGGAGGTCATGGAAGGCTGAGCGGGGGCAAGTGAGGGCGGAGGAGAGCCGGAGCGATCGCATAGTGTGGGGGTGTCTGCGCGGTCGTCCTGCGAGTCCGCACGCGTATGGTGTGCGTTGACGTGGGACATGGAGAACGCACACGCCGAGGCGCGCAGCCTCAGCGAACGCACGCGGCTGATCGTCTTTCTCCGCGGCGAGGTGATCGCGTGGTGGACCGGAGACGCCCTGGAACGGTGAGGGAATGCCGTCCGGGTAGGCGACCGCTCGAGAAAGTGTGTCAGATTTGTCTTGCGCCGGGTCTGGAGGCCAGGCGACCGACCAGCCACAGTCGCTGCGGAGACGTTGCTAGCGCCGCGTAGGCTGGAGCCATCTACGTTGGTAGTCGTGAGCTGTGTCAGACATATCTGAAGGGCGCGCGCCTGCTCTTCTCTCGCAGCACACCTTCGCTCTGCCATCCAACGTTCGCGTAGCATAGCCTGATACGCTCCTGCACCCAATTTCTGCACCTCGTCCGATACTTTATCTGCAAGACACGCGCGAAGCTTTGTCGCTCGCTCTCGTGCATCGCGAGCCTGCGCACTGAGGAACGCGGTCGCGCGTTCCAGCGCGTGGATCTGTTGGTCAGTAGGAGAGGGCTCAGACGCGCAAGTGAGGAACGTTGTTCGGAGAGCTTCTTGCGCGCGACCATATCTCAGCTGCCGGCGCGACTGAGGGCTGAGGTTGTGCGCAGACTTGGGAGCTGGCGAAGCCCGTCGTGTGGGTAGGTCCAAGGTCGAACGAGACGCTGATCTCTGAGCATTTGCACGAGAACCTTGGCTGTAATCGGGAGTCCTGTGGCCGTCTTCGGTAAAGCACACTTGTCTTGAACATGGGACTTACAGGGAAGGTGTCACAGATGAAGAGTCTGTTCTGCTTGACATAGCTCTGCCTATGTTTGTGACGTCCTTGGCGAACATGAGGTTAGCGCAGGGCTGTGATAAGGAGAAAGGATGTACACCTTTAAAGGTTCGCTAGGCATACGCTTAAATGGCGTCAGGGCTGAGAACTTGCCGTGACCTGTATGCTTTGTATAGAGGCCGGGATGCCTTGTCACCATGGCGTCGATGTCTGGGCTGTCCGCGATGCCAGACGACTTGTCCATTGAGCGACCGTGAACACAGGCTGAAGGGAGGGAACTGCTCTGGGTGCCTCAAGGCCAGTTCTCGCCTGAAATTGATTTCGTGTTGCAAACCTCGAGGATGAGCGAGAGGCAGAACAAGTGCGTGAATTGAAGACTCTGGGAGAGTATGCACGTCGAAAGCCAGTGCCAGGGCAAAGCTCAAGCGAGAGATGGGCGAAGAGAGCAAGGCGGGCGGGCGCTGGTCAGAATCGAACCGAGACGCGGTCACGACCCCGATCGCTGATCCGCCCTCTCCCATCTTAGATCCAGGCACACCCGCAGTTGAACCACAAAAACATAACTTGCATTATGAGACAACTAACAAACAGCGCACGTACTCGAACAAAGAGCAGAAGCGACAGCAGTGTCAGAAAAAGACGAGCCCCGAAGTGGCTCAAAACATAGATGGTTCCAAGAAAGCGGCCGGGATAGACAAGCTATTAGCATAATCAAAATCAATCCAGAGAGGCGAAGCCGACCGCCTGCTTGTCCACCGAGAATGCAGTGTAAACACTCTGCATCAAACTGAAGATCCTCATGAATGTCAGGTATTCATGGCTGTACGCAATATCAGAGAGACTCACGTGTCGCCTAAGAGCCAAACGTTGTCTCCAAGACCAAAATCGTGGCCACCCAGCGCCGACTGGCAGTAGCCATCATAGACTTGTCCAAGGTTTAACCTATTCACGCTCGTCAGCAGAATTCCGCACACAGAGATAATATTAAAACCACGTACACCTTCGGGTTGATATCAAAAGCTTTCCCGCCCCACGAAAACGCAAGCGCGGGGAACGAATCGCACGGAACCACATAGTTCCCATTTCCCAGCGAGACCGCGCCGTCGACGGATTGGTATACCTGGTCGACCGCATCCGGAGGGCCATACATTAATGTCGTCCCCGAGTCGATGATCGTCTCGAATCCGAACACAACCGGCTGCCCATTCACGAGCGCCGTCGCACCACCAATCTGCCAGAACCCCCTCGTCGAGACGAGGTCGTGGTACTCCAGGTCTCCTGTGTAGTGCCCAGAGTCCGTCCCGCCGAGGTACAGCTCCGAGCCGCTCGGCGCGAGATAGAACCCAAACTCGCCTTGGGGGACCGCATGTTGCGAGACCGCCGTGAAGAAGTACGGGTCCTACAGCACTGCAGTGTGAGCAACATGCGGCAGCGGTGGGAGAAGGAGCCAACGTACGGCGTTCAGCTGGGAGATGCCCGGCCAGGACATGCCCATGAGGCCATCGCTGACGCCGCTGGCGATATCCCCAGACGCGCTCGTCACAGCCGAGAACGCCTGGTTATGCACTGCGATACCTGCCACGCTCACTGCGCACAGACGCGTCAGCACGCACACAAGCACGCAGAGGTTGCGAGTCCCAACGCACCGTCGTCTGTGAAGATCGGCCCCGACGCGGTCGAGCCGTCGCCGTAGCCGATGCGAAACGTGCCGCTCTTGGCCACGCTCGTCGACGACGCGGACGGGTCGTACGAGTGCCGCGCGTTGCACCCCTCGCACTGCGTGGACGGCACCCACAGATCCGGCGATCCCGTGTCGAAATCAATCACAAAGTCCTGTGCGGGAGACCCGATGGACACTATGCCCGTCCACGAGGGCCCGGCATCCGCGAGGGCCTCCGCCTGACGTTTTTCGTGTTCAGTGGGCGGCGCGGCGACGGGCGGGACGTGTGCGCCCTTGTGGAAGTTGGCGAGGCCGATCTTGTTGTCGATAGTGATGAGGTTCTGCCGATGCTTGCTGTGAAATATGAGTGGTTGGGTCGGGCGAACGAGCTGCTGGATAACCTACTTCTGCACACGAGCGGTCTCACGAAGGATCGCATTCGAGTCGACCGTGCCGTTCTCGTTCGTGAGCAGATTGCGCTTCTGCAGCGGGATGCGGATGGCGGCGGGGGGAGGCGTCGGACTCGCACTGGCGACAAATGCAAGTGCAAAGGTGATCATGGAGGCCTTGTAGAACATGGTAATTGAGCGTTGATGATGTTGAAGTTAATAAGGGTGAGGCAGTGAAGATACTGGTGTAGGAGTTTGTTTTGTTAATTTCGAGGCTCGCCATCTCTCTCGTTTTATACCTTTCCCGAGACCTCGGTGCATGTATCAAGAGCTACATTGAGTCTCTTCATCTCGGCGCAAAAATTCCTGACAACGTCCATCCACATGTGTAGAAGGAGCCAAGTCCTTTGCTCAAGCTGCAACGAGAAACTGCGAGGTATGATGAAATGATCACAAACGCCGGCAATGAAGAAGTTGGACAGAAATTCACCGGAGGAAATCCACGTGGCGATTTAATTATCGAGCATTCACCGGAGTACCGTGTGCAGGCACCATGGCAAGGAACATTGTGGATGTGCGCGGTCTTGAGACGCACAAAGCATCGAGTTCGGTGTGGTGCTGTCAACCTCTCCGTTCTACTAGTTTTCCATTCTTACGGGCCATTACTCAAAGCCACTGCTTGTTGTATGGAACATTCATAAGAACCTATCCGATTACCGACGACATAGATGGGAACGCATACCATTCATATGTACTTGTTGCATTTTTCTTTTTCTTTTTCTTCTGCACGGATTCTCTGGCGGTGAACACGAACGGGAATTCATTCCAAATCAAGACATCCCGCCCACGCAGGAACGCAACAGGCACAAATGCAATCTCCACGAGTATCCGGTCAACACAACAATCACGCACCGGCAACATTTGAGCCTCATCATGTTTCTGACCGCCGGCATCCAAACCCCATAGGTCCACGAGACTCAATCAATCACAGCGCTCAATCATACAACGAGGCACATTTTGCCTTGGTTCACCGGTAAAGCTTTAGATCGTCTCGTAAGGTGGATGAACAACATGGAAATCTGCCCAAGAGGTATAACACGCACTACAAAGTCGGGCTATTGGGACTCAAGTACGGGCAGGCGGCAGGCCACCAGCACTGATCTAGGTTCCCGAACCGCCGAAGCTCATCAGAGGCCATACTGTAACCCGTCCATCTTGTCCACCTGCGGCCAGCCAACGACTCCGGTCCGCCTTCTCCTCATCACCCATCTCATCTTCGCTGTCTTCGTCCGCGTTGGGGGCCCTATTAGGTGCCGAGGCCACGTGCGGAGCCAATCTGGCGAAGGCAACAGCCTGGCAGCTCTTCTTGTAGTAGTCTAGGGTACCGAGAGGCTTCATGGACCTTGTAGAATACAGGCGTATCCTGAGATGGGTGAGATGAGCGCGGGTTTTGGAGAAAGCGTGCATATGCACCTGCCGTCCCAGCCGCCCACAGCACACACTCGGCCGTCATCTCTGATAGCAACGGCTGCGTTTCCTGGGTGTTTCGTGCGGTGCACCGCACAGGCAGACTCTCGTGTGTCGGGGCTTTCAGCGAGCTGCACCGCGTGTAAACGACCACTACACATTGGTAGTAAATAACGGTCTTGCCTGCATATCGTACCGCCCAATCAAGTGGTCTGCAGACACTGTCAACGCAAACGATGCGTCTCTGGAAACGGCCATGGCCATGACTGCCCATTTTAACGTCAAGATACGGATGGCGCGAGGGAGATGTCAACAGACAGAGCGCACCCGACTCGACGTGCAGCTTCACACTCCAAATGGCCTCCCAACCCACACCCTCTACAGAGGTCTCCTTGTCCGTCCGCATATACCCCCACGACGTCACGCTGCCGTTTTCGTACGCACACAACAGGCGCAGCTGTTGGCGCTCGGACGAATGAGGGTAGGGCACCTGGAACAGGTGCATCCCCATGATGATCCCTGCCAAACAACCGCGTCTGAGCCAAAGGACGAATGAGCGCAGAGCATGATGTACCTGTCGCGTTCAGGCCCCGCCCCTCGATGGGGGCGGGCGTCGGGGGCTTCCCGGCCGTCCCGATAGCAGCATGCAGCCTCTGCAGACCCGGCAGCGTCCATATGTCCGCCTGCGCGCACATCGCATCAGGGCAGGGAGCAAGACGACCTCCGCACGCACCAGAGACGACTCGACGAGATTCGGCACGGCGATGAGCGCACGCTCCCCGTTGTGTGCGTCGTCTGGCGCGACGCACAAGAGCGAGAAGCGGCAGTAGTTGAGCGCGTTCACGTCCAGGGAGTAGCAGCACTGCGGCAGCTGTAGCCCCGGCGTCGCGGCGGAGTGCCCGAGGGCGGCCGCGGCGTCGCGCACGCGCTGCCAGACGTGCAGCTTGTTGTCGCGGCCGTGGCTGGGCGACGTGGTCAGCGGGGCCGGGGACGAGGAAGTCGAGATCGAAACCGGAGACGAACGTGACGAGGCGCTCCCCGCCTGGTTCTGCGCTGGTCCACTCCTGTATCCCGAGGATCGCGTCTGTGTGGGCCTGCCAGACGGCCAGAGGCCTGAGAGTGCGGGTGTTTGTAATCACAACGGTGCCCGCCCCATCGCCGGAATAGAGGCGTTCGTTGTCAGCAGAGAAGGAGACGGCGGCGAGGGGTGCGTTGTGAGTGCGGAGGATGTGGATGGGAGTGGGCGGGGGTGGCTTGGACGCGGAGACCATGGCGGGAGGAGGCGCGCTGATCGATCAGGAAAAAGGCGCATCACACAACTTGAAAGGCGGGTGACGTCCTCGCGCTTCAAACGCCGACTCCGGCTGCTTGAATAAATTATCCTCGAGCTTCAGTGCTGAAACATTGAATGGCACACTGCCCACATACTCGGCAGATGCACGATACAAGCATCAGTCGACTCTAAAGCGGTACATTGACACTATCTAACACTCGGCACGGACATATATGCCACGAAGCCTTAGTACTTAACAGCACAAGCCAAGGTTGAAGAGATACAGCGACGCTAAATGACTTGTGCGATAGCTGTATCCGGAAAACGGGTGCATCTCATGCAATGAGATGTGCTGTACAGACAACAGGAGAAGGTCGAAAACAAGAACAAATGGGTAAGGTCGACCAAGAACGGCAATCGACATGCGATCGCACAAAATGGACTTTGAAAGCTCGGAGCTCTAACTGCTGGATAGATAATAGAGTGGGGGGATTAATGGGGAAGCGAGAATTCAGGCTTGCAACGACTGTCGCGTGCAAGCCTCAGAGCCGAATAATCGAAACTGCTGCCATGCAGCGGATGAAATGAAGCACTCGCGTGCGCTCAGAAATTTGACCACGAAATGACATCCTCCCTCGCCACGCGAGACTTGTCCATCCCAACGGTGACGCCGAGGCTCGTCGTGCGGATAGGGCGCTCGGTCCTGAGCCCCTTCACGGGCTTCAGGAACACCCACGCAGGGACCGCGCCGAGTTCGACGTCGCCGTTGCCGTGCGTGTCCCGACCGACAACGCACCAGCCGTCGTCAAAGCTCTGCACGACGGAGACGCGCTCGCCAGAGGTTAGAGTGAGCTCGTCGAGCAGCGTCGATTTGAACGCCTGACGCACGCGGCGGCGTGCATCCTCGCTGATGATGGTGAGCGATGATCCTGCGGAGGAGAGCCGGCGGTGGGAGTATGTGCTACTGCGCACGGAAGCGAGGGACATAACAGACTTGGGGCGCAAGGGCGGGAGGCGGCTCGTGCGCTTAGAGCCCGGACTGGGGCTTGTGCTGGTATTTTGGCTGTCGTGTGTGTTGGGTGGGAGCATGGAGACGGGGGAGAAAGGGCGGGGGAGGACGCCGAGGGCGGTGTAGTGGGCGATGATTTCGTCACGGGTAGCATCTTTAGAAAGGACGGCCTTGGCGGGCATGATTATGCTTGGGGTCAGCTGTGCGCGGGAGAATGTGGTAGCCTGCAGCGTCGGGGGGGAGCTGGGGGGATATTGTCAGTGCGACGGGACGCGAGGGCGGACATGGGGGAAAAACTCACATGAGGCCGGAATGGATAGACTTGCCCTCGTTAACTACGCCGCGAACGGAGAGGAATGCAGCGCCTCGCGCGTCGGCGCGCTTTGCAGCACCTCTCTTCCTCATCCAATAAATTATGAGCCATAGGACTGCACCGCTGGTGATGGCGCAGGCGACGGCAATGCCTGCGATGACCGTTCGGCTGAGCGGTGCGCTGCTTGCATCGGTGTTCGAGCGAGAGAGCAAGGTACAGCAAGGAGCCATGGGAAACGTCCTTTGTTATCGTTGGCGTTGATTTTTGATACGGATGGCAGGTAAGAGCACCGGCCGGGCAGGAGAGGTTGGAAAAGAGCGAAAAAGATAAAGAACGAAGGGTGGATAAGTTAGCGGGGGGAGGAGAGGGCTGCCTTGCGAGCGCGCGAGACCGCAGGCGAGGGAGATGAGAAGGGCCATCGCGATGAGACGGTTCAGGCTGATGAGGAGCAACGATCGGAAGTCGTCTCTGGTCCGGGGCCGAATATGGCTCGAGATCAAACGTCGCCGGGAGCCAAGCAACACCGCACACGGCTCATCCTCCTTCCTGTCCTCTTTCTCGTCTCGTGTCGGCACCCCTGGTTTCAACTACACAAAGGCATCAGTCTAGGAGACGCCTCGCTCGCAGAATGCATACCTAGCAATTACTGTACTGCCAGCCCAAGTTCACCGTATCGATTACCAGTAAGCGTCGGATTCTAGTGGTCTCCTGCCCAGACGTGTCGAACCAAGTCCGAGTTTAAAACACAGAAAACCGCAGGCAAAACTCCAGATCTGAGCCGGCGGCGAGAGCAAAGGTGCGGGTGTTGGGCGGCACGCTGAGGGTCGCCACTATCGCCTCTATGTATCGGCAGGCTGCCCTCTTTGACGTCCCCCATCACATCCCTCCACACCACTCGCACCGCTTTCCACTAGGTGACATCTCCCAGCCTGGTTGTATATGATGTGTGGTCGCCAGCTATCATCGGCTTCTCGCCGCTGCATCGGAGAAGAACCACGTCCTGATTAAAGTCTTACTATCTTCAAATATTGCACACAGGGTCGAACCGGACGGACCGTCACGGCGACGGCTCGGGCGGCGTTGGCCATCAATAGCCAAACCCGTCCGCTCTACTTGCACCCCTCATCCGGCAGCATTCGCCCATCTCATCGGCAGAGGTGTTGTCGTCTTCACCATTCAGCGTTCCCATCGCGTAATCACCACAGTGACCCTAGAGCTCCAAGGTTCGAGGCTGTCACCATTGGCTTTCGCATCATGTTACTTCTCCACCGGTCTCACCCATCAATCCCTTTATTAATGCGTTATTCTTACTTGCTGCCATCGTGCGTCTAGAACATGGGTGCAGCGACATGTGTCTTCGTGAGCTAATCCAGCATTTGTTCAGCTAATTCGGCCCGAACTTGATACGAGCTGTTGAGATCACACCAAATCAAAGCGACCAATTACTATTGGCACGTCCGGATTTCAAGTCTTATTGTCAAAGATAGCAACTACATCCACACTGTCAAATAGCTTGCACTATACTCCCAGTACCTCTCCAAGCCGAACCTCGCACGGGCCCAGGAAGAGGAAATCCGCCTCATCGGAATGATTGCTTGCCTCTATGTTAAACACTGCGATCTTTCCCCTATGCTCCTTCACCCGTCCACCAATCTTCGAAGCCGGCTGGACCTACAGCACACGTAACGGACAGGTCAGTCAAGCACCGTCACAGCAACAGACGGCACCGCGCAGGCTCACCACGGCAGACGTGCCCACGACGATACACAGGTCCGCGTCGTCCGCGAGCGCGAGGATCTCCTCGATCCGGTGCGGCCGCTCCCCGAACCACACGACCCCGGGGCGGCAGAGCTGCCCGCACACCGGGCAGCGCGGGAGGTCCGCGCGGCGCACCACGGGCTCGAGCGCGGCCTCGGTCCCGCGCAGCGCGGGGCACAACGGCGAGCGGCGCGTCGTCTCGCGGAACCCGCAGTCGTGCGCGGTGCACACGACATCGAACAGCCGGCCGTGCATCTCGATGAGCTCGGCGGGCTCCTCGGGCGTGCACAGCGGAGCGACGGCGTCGGCGAGTGCGATTGTGCAGAGCCCGTCGACGTTTTGGGTTACGTGGGTGAGTGCAGAGTGTGGCGCGAGGGTGTGGCGTATGCTTGGGATGGCAAGGCGCGCGAGCGCGCGGTGCGCGGGGTTCGGCGCGGCTTTGAGGACCCTGCGGTTGTGTGTTCGTGAGCGGTCGCTGAGATGTGGGTGCGAGAGGACTCACTGCTCGCGCCTGTAATGGAAGAACTGCCATACGCGAGATTGGTTCTCGGCGAATGCGGCGGGTGTCGCGAGGGAGGCGGCATCGTATTTGCGCCACAGACCACCATTGCCTCTGAATGTCGCGACTCCTGAACGGCTGTGAGGAACAATTGTATGCGGGGCAGCAAGAGAGTAGTAGCTACCGGAAGCGGCGGACAATCCGGCGCCACTCAGGATGAGTATCTTCTTGGACGACGACAGAACCTGGCGAAACTCTTCTACGTTGTCAGATGGCATTGAGCCCCGGAGAATGTGAATGGAATGGTGTAGAGGCAAGTAGAGAAATGGACAACAGTGTACAGTGCGCAAAATGAGCCAACGTTACTAAAGTAGTAATAGTAGTCTAAAGAGGCCGCGATGGTCGATGAAGAACGCACAAGTTGATTCCGCTCTGCGCTACGTATGCCAGTGATACATCCTCTGCCGATGTGGCTGCGATCAGAGATTACTGGTCGTCTCTCGCGTTCCTCGAGCTTTGGGCGCATCTTTGGGAATGGTCGGTATGCCAGGAGTGATTCAGATCAAGCCGCGGTAAGAATAAAACCATGGGGTCGCTGGAAGTCTGCACGATGTACATATAGCAGGAAGCATGTCACGATATGCACGACCTAAGCCAGCCCCTTAGGTCTTCATAATCCGACACGTCTGCACATCCGAGAGAGCTGCAGTACTCGAGAAGAGTCTTAAAAGGAGCTGGAGAATGCTCGGTAAATAGAGGAGGCTTTTGGAGTCTTCTATTGGCCTCAGCTGCGCAGAGTGCTTGTTGTACTCTCTTCGGGGATAGCCTACGCCCATTTCATTTACGGCCCAGAGTTCATGTATCACACGAACATGGACGAAAGCGACACCAAATCGCTTTTTCTGGATATGCCTTCGAAATGCGATCCGCAGATTTGAGTAGAACGATTTCATTACGATGCACTCACCTTCTCCAAGAAGCGTCGTTGGACTGGCAAATAACAAACTCCCGCGGAACCCGGCTTTGCTGCAGAAGCGCGACAACTGGAGCCTGCCCCCCCGGCTCACCTTGTAGAATGACATACAGTTGACTCTCTCATAACCCATACCCCTCAGAATAAACATTACCATCCGACATAACAGCCTCTACATCGCGGATGGCTCGGTATTGGTGCAGGCCTGCAGCTGCAGCTTGGGAATATACATTCGATGAAATTTATATAAAAACCTCTGAGGTGAGATGTGCTCCGAAGGGTATGGGTTATGAGAGAGTCGACTGCATATATTATATTCTTGTCGCAGAGACGCTTGTTCGGTGGGTTCCTCCAGATTTACCGCCACAGCAGTGAGTCTCGATTGACCCCATCCGGCATAAACTTGAAACAGGCTATTCATCCTGGCAGTAACGCAACAATGTCGAGAGGGAATATATACCAAGATGATATTTTGTCCCGAGTCTTTCTCACAGAACGACTCGTTCTTCCTAAATGGGCACTTTTAATGACACTTGAGACATCCTATAGACTCTGTATTAGAAATTGATTATGTGCCCGTTAGTGATGCGCGACACGTTACTCACCCATTCGCGCGAGCCAGTTCAAATTACCCAGTGACACTCTAGAGATCCCAGACTCTTGCGCGATAACATGTCCACAACACTAAACATTCTGCACTTACGTATGGGTACTCGAGTATGTCAACTTTCTGTGCATGTTTTATTGCCTGAAAATTGTTAAGATCTGGTCGCCAATGCATCAACCCGGGGGTGAGTCCACTCGAGGCACTTCTCAGTGAACGTGGTCTATTTGGATCACAACTCAGAGCTTCTGTTATCTTCGTCGGTGGTGGAATAACGCCTTCGGGCTCCCGAAAGACCAGAATCCATCCATTGTCGATGCGGCATTGCATCGCTTCCGGCCGTGGTCAAATGTAGTGCGCGTCGACAGCCCCGCAGAGGCGTCGATGATAGCCCACGTCGCTCAACAACCGCCTATTCCTGTCCGATGCATCCTGTCCATATTATCCTCCGATCCCGACCGCCCAACGCTGTCTATCCTCACGGACTATACCGAGAGTGACGTCCTCGCCGGCGCTGGACCACGGTGAGCCGGTGACGGCGGCTCTGTATTGCAACCCAGAGTGTCTAGTCTCCTCGACGTGTCGGAATAGTCGTACCCATGTAACTGGGAAACAAGGTTGGCTGTTCCGCTCATACGATGAGACGGCAGTGTGATTCGACCGGGGGTGGTTTGACGCACAGGCGGTCAAGCATGTGGACTAAGGCGTGTTAAAGTTGTGTCCAAATCTCAATAATTATGCTCTGGAAGGATGCGCTGCGGGCAAAGACTCGTGCACCTGTTTGTGGACAAAGTTCTCTGTGTTTATGTTGAGGAACTATAAGTGATATGCAAGGAGTATTTTTATAAGCTGGAGTTTGTTTGGCAGTGGCCTGCCTGAATTTTCTCTGGACTACTTTGACCTCGGCTTGGAGGCTGAACATTGATTGACGAAGCGCAGTGCTGAATGGTGTGCTTCTGGAAGCCAAGCTTGTGCATCATCAAGTAATAGGCTTTTAGCAGAACGGACAGAAAATTGCAGAGTCACTGCAGCATTATATGTACGTACAATATATGGTCGAACAGGACCCGTAGGGACAGACCCGTGTTGTACATTGATCAGGGCTTTATAGAACTCCAGCTTTTGTCCAAGTCGTCCGAGTCAAGTCGAGTGCACTAATAGATGAGTATCTCGGATGCAGGCTTCGGGTCAGTCAGATCCGGGTAGATTACGACGGCGTCATTCGATAAGATAAATAATTAGTTCGGCAGCGGAAGCTAATTCGGCAGATTTGTGGAGAAACCATGCCAGCGGAAGGATGCGACTGCTGGGTCTGCCAGTGCCTCGGTGCTGGCTCAAGGACGCACTGCCGGCGATAACCTGATTGCAGCGGACGCGTCGCGGGTCCGTCATTGCTCAACATGCACCTCAAACACGAGTCTGAAATTCGCCAGCCTGGTGCTAGACGTCGGTTGATTGCCCCCTGGCCGGCCTGATGGGGAGCAGCATCGTATGAACACGCCCGAAGTACGTCTCTTGTCCAATAACATCGTTTCTCGTGACGTTGGAGAGAGACGCTGCCTCGAGCACAGGTCACATCTCCAGCCTATTTCGACCAGACGCCCACGTCGTGTTCGACGGGGTTCCCACACGACGGTTTCAAGCAGCTCTCGCCGAGAATCCTTATCTCTTCAGGGGTGTACGATACCAGGCGTTGCTGATAGCAGGCAAGACGTAGGGCGGTGGACGACGATACGGCGGACGTCTGCGTATCAGGGCGACGAACCTGGTCCCAGCTCGGTCGCGGGCGCACAGCCATCGCCGCAGTGGGTGCGAGTCGCGATCGCTGGTAAGTAATGAGAATGCGCCGGCCAGACCAGCCGGCTCCTGGCACATGTCTTAAAAGTCCTTTCCCGGCCCCCCCTCGCGCTTGTTTCCGTCCTCGCTCTGTACCTCACGCCGCTTTTCGCCCTGACGCTCCCTCGTCTGTCTCATTCTGATCTGGCAACCCCTTCAAACTGAAATCTGTCCACGTTCTCTTTCTCTCCCTCTCCTTGGTCCGTCGTGGCCGCCCCGCCCCCCCATGTCTCCCGCCTACCCTCTCCGACCACGCTCTACTCCGTATACCGGCCCATCCACAAATGACACCATCTTGAACGATCCCGTCGAGTTGGCCGGCATGATCGTCGCCATTGTTATCGCCGTCGGCGGAGGGCTCGGTCTTGGGATCTACTTCCTCTGGAAGAGGCGGCAGACAAAAAAGAACACAGACCACCTTGGGTTCGCTGCGCTCTCCAAGGGCCACGATCGAAAGCCATCCGTGTAAGTCCCCGTCGACCACTGCCTCCCACCCCACACGTGCTCAAGGACGTCTCTCGCAGCGAGACTCGCATGCGCAGGGAAGACGACGACATGTCCCGCGCGCAGCTGCTCCCCAGCATCGTCCTGCCCGAGCGGTCCGCCCCCGGAAAGGACGAGGCCCCCGTCCAAATCGTCGAGCACCTCGTCTCACCCGGCCCCTCCCCTCCGCGCTCACCTCCGCGCTCCCCGCCACCTCGCTCGCCCCCCCGCGACTCGCTGCAGCTGCCCCGCGACTCCCGCCGACCGCGGACCCGGCGGCACCGCTCCTCGGGCTCGGTCTTTGTCGCAACGTCCTCGTCGCTGCGGACAAGCACGTACATTGCGTCACCCACATTCGACGACACACACCGGCACAAGGTGCAGCAAGCGTTCACGCCCGCCCTGCCCGACGAGCTTGCGATCTCCGTCGGGGAGCGCCTCGCGGTCGTCCGGGGCTTTGGAGACGGATGGTGTATCGTTGGCCGGGAGAAGCGTACGGCGGTGGGCGACATCGAGCTCGGCGCGGTGCCGATGTGGGTCTTTACGCCGCCCGAGACAGGGCGCGTGCCGCAGCGGCCGATGCGCTCGTTGAGTGTGGGCGTGAGCGTGACGCTGGATGCGCCGGGGGGCCCGTCATTTTCGTGGACGAATGTGCGGTAGAACGGGGGAGGGGGCAGTGTGCGGCGTGAACGTTTGAACGCTCGGACTGATGAACTCGCTCGCCGTGTGCGAGCCTTGCCGGTTGCTCTGCTCACGACCGGTTGAAGGATGCTTTCAGGGACGGATGTTGTACATTGGACGGGACATGAGCTCTTCATTGGATTTTGCCATTACCCCGTGTTGCATAACATTACTATAGACTGCTTTAGATATTGTATGTGCTTTGGCTATGCTCTTGTCAGCCTTCTCAGTTTTGGCTGTTAAGTATTGATGAACGATCCGAACAAGAGGCGGCAGTTACCAAGGGGTCTGGCGGGGATTGCCGGGCGGCAAAGGAGATGCGACGGTGCGCGCCCCCCGCTCCCGCTCACAGCTCTTCCTCTCTCCCCCCATCTCCCGCCGGGCGTAACTCGACGTCCGGCGCGACTTTCTGCTTTCTGCTCGCTTCATTAATTGCTCGGTGAGTCATTTCGTCGTCCCCGTCTTTCTTCTGCTCACTTCGTCCCCAGCAAGCCTTGATTCTGGCAAATCTACGCTCTTGTCCCCGCATCAGGCGGGGTGTACTCTCGCTACCACGTCGTTCCTTTCTCACCACTCCCATCCCATCCTTATACTACCATGCACATCGCTCCTGCTCACCACAAGAGGCAGCCATCTGTGGGTCTCCCGACCAATATTTTTGGGAGTGAAAGGTTGTCTGGTTCGACGGTCGCCACCGCCACCGGCCTCATCTTGAATACAAGCACAGTTTCGTCCGTCTCAATCACTGCACCTCCATTGGTATCGAGTCTCAGTCTCACGCCGGCTGTCCCGACGCCGTCTACAACATCGCTCACATCGCCTTCTCCATCCGTGGCCCCCGCCTCTGCCGTCTCATCTGGTTCCAGCATTTCCCTCGGCACTGTTATTGGTGCTTGTATCGGGGCATTTTCCGGCCTTGCTCTTGTCGTCGCGGCGTACTACATCTACTCCAAGCGCACCAAACGCGCCGGTGCGCCTCCTCCACGGAGCATTAGCGATAAGTGGAAGCAGCTCGATGATGGGGGAGAGAACGGTCGGAGTACCGCCGCAGCGAACGTCGCCCGATCCCCAGCACATCATGAGATGGAGGAGAAGAACTTTGCTATGTTCAAAAAGTCCACGCCCAGCGTGCGCACCATGCATACCAAGACGTCTGACGAGCCCGTCGATTTGCCTCCTTTCGAGTTCTCAAAATATCACCCCGACCTCGCGAAAGAGCTTGCGCTAGAGCAGCCCACGCGCCCCTTTATCCCCCAGCGTGCTGGTACCGACAGCGGTGTCTCGTGGGATGGCTCGACCGTGCATGACGATTCGTTCCTGTCTATGCGCTCCGTGCGCGCGGAATCGGGCACGATGTCCCCCACTGTAGTGCTCGCAAAGACCACGCCCGCCGCGATACTCTCACCCGCGCACAAGTGGGAATCTGCCGAGGTTCTTACGATGGAGCACGAGCAAACGGCTGACGCTCGGGAGCTGCAGAATCCGTTCGCGGATCTCAACGAGCAGCGCAGGAGCGTTTCGAATCCTTTCTTCAACGCGCAGGAACTGCAGCGCACGGCGCCTCGCAGCCGGAGCCGTAGCAACAGCCGCACCAGCCGTGCTAGCCACGCCACACATAGTCGCCGCGCTAGCCAGAGCACCGTTCGGCAGTCCGCCCGCATCTCGAATCCTTTCTCCGACGTCCAACAAGTGCCTGTATACCACGTCGAGCCACCTCCGCCTCTGCACCTACATGGACCCGAGAACTTGATCGCGAGCGGCGCGAGTGCTAATGCGTTTGGCGACCACGCGCTGAGGTCTCTTATCGCGGCGCTGGACCTGACACAGGAGGAAGTCGAAGAACGCCTCCGCGTTGCGTCCATGGACGCTTCGACGCTCTCGCGGTTTTCCACCATGACGAGCGGGACCAACGACACGGACATCGGGACCGTGCGCGAGTTCCCGATGCCGCCCGACATGGACCGGGCACCCCCATGAACGTACCTTAACTTATTGTCGTCGTCCGTCTGCCGCTTGTTCGTCCCCGTCGCCATCTCATTTCCGTCCCCCGTCCCGCCCTGATCCCTGCTCCCTGGTGACTTCCCCCTCGTCGCTCGCCTGGTTTACGCCCCCTTGATAGCTGGCCCTCGCGCGGTGGTCACTCCTTATTGTACATTTTCTCGCCGTGGCGCGCGCTCTTGTGCTCTATTCTGCCGGTTTGCGCTTTACGGTGCTATATCCCCCGTCTCCTTCTTGCCTTCCGTCGTGTCCGGCACGGCCCGATCAGGCATCGACATTTATTTTCTATCTTTCGTCCACCACGACCTGGTGGCCGCGGTTGTCTTCTCATTCGCGGCGCCCGCGCGTGCGCACACCTTATTGTTCCTTCCTCGTGTCCACTCTCCCGCCGTACTGTAATAATCCACGCACATCGCGCACTTCTATTTATTGCTTTTTGCGTTCTTGGCGGCGTGCCCCTTGGGAGCACGGAGGGCGCAGAGGGCGCGGGTCGGCTCTTTTATTCCTTTGATTGCCTTTTCTACCACGATGACACTCTTGGACTGCGCGGCGACGACGTTTTCTTTATGTTTACAGTGCCATATTCTTAGGAGAGTAGCTGAGCACAATACCGCTCTTAGATCGTGAAGCGTTTGTGATGGCACCGCTGCCAAATTGAATTACTCGAATATGTACCATATGTGACAAAAAGCCGGGCGTGCGCGTAAGACCACTGACTAGGCGAGATATGGGTGTGTACGTATGATATGCCCGTTTACCGACCCCGATTACGCGTCTGCGCACCGGTAAGTACCCAGGAAGTCCACGGCTTACATGAGTGGGAGTGGGTGACGACGGGATACGATCTATCAACAAGGGTTGTTTGATCCTATCTCCAAGGCCGGAATTCCGGACAAGCTCCTCGACTGACTGCCAGCGATGACAGATCGGAGCCCGCCAGAAGTGCAGAAGAGACGGGCGATGTAGATTGCGCCGCACTCCACCAGTGCTGTCTGGATGTGAGCGAGCCGGCCGCTCCAGAGAGGCGTCTGCATTGGGAGCGTAGGCAGCCTGCGCGCGCGTTGCGGCATCATTGCTCCCTTCGCTCCGGCTCCTCCTTGTTCGCCGCCTCGTGCACGGACTTGAAGTAGGCACCCAGGATATTCGGGAACGCCGCGATGGACTTGCGCGCACGCAGCTTCTCCTCGAAGCGCGCGATCTTGTCGTGCGCGGACTGCAGGTCGAAGGAGCGTTTCTGGGCGGGAGCGGCAGCGTCAGCGGTGTGCGCGGTGGGGGCTCGCGAGGGCTTACGGCTTCGTCTGCGCGCTTTGCGCGGGCGTCGTCGCGCATCTTGTTGAGCTCCTTCCGCCGCTCCTCCTCCTTCTCCTTCCGGTTCAGACCCGAATTGGGCGTCGTGCCGCCGGGCTGCAGAAGGACGTCAGAATGTGCGAGCGCGGTGGGTGCCGGTCAACGCAGCGCATCGAAACAGGGCTCGCCTTGGTGAACAGCTGCGCATACACGCTCTTATCGCGCAGGTCGAAATCCGCGTTGTTGGCTGTGGCGGCCGGCTTCCTCGCTGCCACCCCAACGGGCGTGATGACGTCTGCGGCGGCATCTTTCTTCTCTCCTACCGCAGGAGAAACGGCGGCGACAGAGGGAGTGGATGGGGTGGCAGACGCCTTGTTCTTCTTGATGGTCGGTAGCTTGCGCTTCTTGGGTAGTGGCGGCGCAGCTTCCTCTAGGGGAACAGGCTCTTGTGCTTTCTCTGCTGCAGCAGGCTCAGCAACAGCCACCTGACGATCGTCCTTGGGGGCCGGCCGCTTGCTGTTTGCTGCTGGAACTGCGCTCCTGTCTTTGGGTGCGGAGGGCGCTGCTGGAGGTAGCTTACGCTCATCTCGAACGATTATCTCCTTCTCCTCCTTCTTCCCCCTTCCCCTCGCTCCTTTCGTTCCTCCACTCGGTTTTAAGCCCTTCCCCTTCGTGACTGCGCCTTTCTTGGATGGGGGCGCCGACTCCGGCGCAAAGTCCTCGTCCTCCGAGTCCATGATGCGACCGGCATCCACAAACTCGTCATCTTCGTCGTCCGTCCACACGACGGTCCGTTTGGAGCGTCGCTCCGACGTGGACTTGCCGTCCACCTTCGGCTTGCCGCTCTTGCGCTTCGATGCCTTTGCTGGCGGCGGGGAAGGGGCGGACAAAGTGGCTGCTTCTGGGGGCAAGAAACGCGTGTCTTCTGCGTCCGCCTCAATATCGACTTCCACGTCGACGTCGGGTTCGCCGTCCGAGCCCGTCGCGCGGTGATCGCTGTCCTCCGTCTTCGCTCTCTTGTGTTGTGGCTGGGAGCTGGGACCCTCGTTGTCGAGGTCCTGCGCAAGGGTGGCGTCCTCCTCGTCCGAGTCTATGCGCCGCTTCGATGCTTTGGTCAGCTTCGATGATCCAGCAGTCTGAAGATGATACGTCAAGACACGTGAATAGAATCCGCGACATAACGCACTTGCTTGATAGGTTTGATACGAAGGGACATCGCGAACACGGTTAAGAACGTAGTGCGTGACCGCAGTTAGTAGGATGGAAGGGAGGTGGCTGAAGCGCTCGCGGTGAATGTGGCGTACACCTCACGACTTCACGAGTCATGATCACACTCGCAACATCAGAGACAAGAAACTGTTGAATATGATTCAAAGTCATACAAATCAGGTCGTAGGGAGTCGACTACGAGCCACTCCGTAGAAGTAGTTTGTTAACAGGTGAAGACAACTATATCACAACAAGCAACAAATCTGTCTACTTCTAGCTATTGCTTGTCTGCTCAGACCAACTTGTTCTCAAGACTCCTGTTAGCCTTCAGGGCCAGCAGTTGCTGAATAATCGTATCTAGCGGCACCATCTTTCCTTGAGCCTTCGTACCAACATCATCACGATTGCGGACATTCACAGAGCGGCTGTCCAGCTCTTGTTGCCCGACAACTATAGTGGAAGCATATGTCAATTTCGTATCCCTAGGTAGTGGCCAGTGAATAATAGCGTACCGAGGATGAAGTTATACTGCGCGATCTCGCCATTGCGGATTTTCTTTGGCAAGGTATTTTCACCGTTGTCTACGTCCGCGAAGAAGCCATGATCAGACAATTTCTGACCTATCTCGGAAGCATATTCTTTCTGTTTAAATCAAGCGACTGTGAGTACGTAGGCCATGATGGGAATGTGTTTCATGAACTGACGTAGGGAATCGCTACAGGCACAACAAGGACCTGACGAGGAGAAATCCAGAATGGCCTATTCGTAGACACATATCAGCGCTGCTTAAAATTCATAGCTGCGAACACCTACCACTTGCCGGCGAAGTGCTCGGTGATGATCGCAATGAAGCGTTCCAAACTACCCAAGATTGCCCTGTGGATGATGACAGGTCTCGAAGGAGGCTTGTCCGCGCTAGCAGTATCGTCTGCGCTGCGATACTTGAGATTGAAGCGCTCGGGTAGCTGGAAATCCAGCTGGATTGTTGCACATTGGAATGAGCGGCGAAGCGCGTCGCGGATGGTGATATCAATCTTCGGACCGTAGAATGCTCCATCACCTGGATTGAGCTCCCACTTGTCAGGATAAAATTTGTTGAGAGCCTTGGTCAATTGCTGCATCATAAGGAGATTAGTACCTTGCTACTGTAGAAAAGGTGGATTCATTATACCTCCTCAGCCTCATTCCAGGTCTCGATCGTGCCAAGATAATTATCAGGTCTCGTGGAAAGTTCAAGGCGGAATTCGAACCCAAACATGCCATATATGTGCTGCATGAAGTCAAACAAATACCCAATCTCTTCCTCAATCTTGGCAACAAAAGTCTCAGTTTTCCGCATTCCAGTCATAAAGTAAAGAACTCACCTGTGTCGGCATACAAAACACATGGGTGTCATCCTGTACGAACCGTCGTACGCGCGTAAGACCTGTCAAAGCACCCGATGCCTCATTACGATGGATGATTCCGAACTCCGCCATACGAATAGGAAGTTCCTTGTAGCTACGATCACGCGAGTCGAAGATCAAGCAGTGACCAGGGCAGTTCATGGGTTTGAGCCCCCAAGCTTCCTTCTCAATATTGAGTGTGAACATATCATCCTTGTAGTTTTGCCAATGTCCAGACGTCTCCCAGAGCTTGGAGTGATACATATTCGGCGAGATGACTGAAGGATCATCAGAAGAGACTATAGGGAGAGGCACAGTCTGCATTACCTTCTTGGTAACCGCGCTTGAAATATTCGGACTAGCGTGCATCCCGTTAGATACGGTGGTAGATCAGCACAAGCAAAGACGACGCACACGCAGCAACTCTACAAGTGTATTATAGATACGCGTTCCATGCGGCAGCCAGAAGCAACTTCCCGGACTGAGATCGTTGAAGAAAAACAGTTCTTGTTCCTGGTAGCACTGCGTCAGCTGATCATACAGCATCGAAACGTCAAGCATCGCAAACCTTGCCGATCTTTCTGTGATCACGTCGGGCAGCTTCCGCGAGGAATTCCTTGTACTCGACGAGCTGCTTTTTATCAGGGAACGAAATACCATAGACTCGCTGCAGGGAGTCATTCGTCGGGTCTCCTAGGAAATACGACGCAGAGTTCTACGCGAAACTGAGTTCGAGTCGGCATGTCGCCTGTCATTGGGCACGGACCTTCGTGACCATAAATGCTTTGATCTTGCCTGTGTGCGGGATATGAGGGCCAACACACAGATCTACCATCGGACCGCAGCGGTACACTGTCGTGGATGCGCCGTCCGGGATTTTTGTCTCGATGATATATTTCTTGTACTTGTTGTACTGTGTGCAGAAATTGGGTCAATAAAGGCTGCAACTCCATTTACCCGGACACCCATGAATACGCACCGCGAACATCTCGAGGAGTTTCTCTTTCGACACGACTAGGCGCTCGAACTTCTGCTTCTCCTTGATCGCGAGTTCTGATACTTTCTCGAGAGCGGGATAGTCTGTATTCGTGATCACTCTGTCAAACGGGTGAGCGTGGGCAAACATCGGTGCAACAAAACCGACCTGTCGTTGATAGCCATCTCATAGAAGAAGCCGTCCTCTGTCGGGGGGCCAATGCAAAGGTGGCATCCGTAGTGGCGTTCTGCAGCTTCACCCAAGACGTGGGCGGACGAGTGCCAGAAGACACGTTTGCCTAACATCGCGTGTCAGCACCGACGGAAATCTGGCGTTGACCGACGACATCGCGCACGACATGCATCGGGGTCTGAGGAAAATCACCTTCGGGATGATCAAAGTCTAAAAGCTCTAACGAGCATGAGCCTTCGAGCGGCCGCTCCAGATCCCACACTTGGTCGTTCACCTGCGGAGCATGAGTCAGGTTGACTAGGGCTCAGAACACTTCACACGACCTTCGCAATGACGATACGATCGGCAAGGCCTTTGGAGATCTCCTTGGCAACGTCCATGGGACTGGTCTCCCAGCTTGTGCCCTGGCGTTTCGTGCCATCAGGGAGGGTAACCTCTATTGTCTCGCGTGGCTGAGCTAAAGGAGTTGCGGAGGTGCATCCCGACATGTTAGTGCTTGGAAGAACTAGATTTCCAACCGTTTCCGCTCACCTTTGACCCATTCATCGAACTCAGCCTTGAGCTTGTCGAACATCTCGATACGATGATCGAAGTAGTCTGGCCGAGGTTGAAGCTACGACATGTTCGTCACGCAACCAGCTGCGAGCCGTTGCGCGCACGTACCTCCAGCGGGTATCCAGACGGGGCAGTCTTGTCCTTCTTCTCCTTGGGCTTCTTGCCTTCGCCTGCGTGAGGGCCCTGCAGAGCGGGGAGCTGTGCGGGGTGCGACGACGATGCCACCGGAGACGTCATTGCAGAAACTGGGCGAAATCTCAAATATCGGGGATGGATGTGGGCGGGAAAGCGAGAACGGCGGAGGGGACCTAGTGTACAAGGCTGAAATCGATTCAGCACCCTCAGCATTCAAGCAAATCCCAAGCTGCGAGTCACACAACGAGCGCCCGTGCCATTCGTGTGTCTGCGGATCGGATTAGATTAGATCGCCACCTTTGACTCAACACTACCTCGAGTACTATATTATCCAAATAAAATAGACTGCCGAGATTGAGAAATAAGCATCCAGTGTGTATCATGCAAACGACTATTACAATCTAAACAACTACGATAGATCAAGCCCCTCCACCCTCCACACCTTGAGGACTCCCGCCCGATCGGCGCTGACGACCCCTCCTCGGAACGGCGCATCAATGCACGCGAGGGCCGTGATAGTATCCTGATGTCCTTTGAGCAGGTTCTGCTGGTTGTGGTTGATCAAAGACAGCCGCTGCGGCGGGCGATTGCTATGGCTGGGGGTTGGGGGCGCCACCC